GTAGCTGTGTTTGTTTTTGTTAAATATTTATAAAGTGCAAAACATAAATAAGCCAAAGAATAAGGAAAATCTTTGAACTGTGTTACAGCCAGCATAGGAAAGCAGGTGGAAAGCGGTCAAAAATAAAGAAAAGCTGAGGTAAAAATATATTAAAAAATACACACACCTTGGGGCGCTTCTACCTGGGGCGCTTCTAAGTGCTGCTGCCCTCGAGTCACCCGCCCGTCTTGTGTCTCGTCTGTGGATTTGGCTCGAATTTTCAATGCAGTTTTCATTATTAACTGAAAAACCTGACAGTTGGCCGATGTAATTGTATTTAATTGAAAATGAAAAGCCTCTGCCCCCATAGCGATGCAGAAGGTAGACTGTAGAATGCACACACCTGCACGTGGGTGGGGGGTGGATGAAATGGTGGATTGGTAGATGGATGGATGGAGGAGGCGACGGTTTGAATGTCAGACTGTGGCAGCATTTCAGCTTGCGGCATCGCTCGATGTCCGCCCGTCGAGAGCGGAAATTTCAGCATGTTCGGGATGTCAACATTCCCCAGGCCCATAGAATGGGGCTTCCCCTCGCCCCACGCCCCCCGCTGTCTGGGTGTCATGCCTCTTTTGTGGGCATTCAAATGCGGCATGCAACAAGTTGGCAGCGCCCACAAAATGGCGGAAACGTGCTTCTGTCGAGGCAGACTGCAAACAGTAGCTCCTTGCGGACGGCGGAGTGGATGGGAGGACCATGAATTATGGAATGCATATTTAAACGCAACTTTAAAGTTTTTTATTGAGCGAGGAGCTGGAGCTGGAGAGGGAGTGGGAGCGGACAGCGTCTGCCCGGGAGAGGCAGCATCCGCATCCTAATTGTGGCAAACTTTCGCACACGCTTCATATCCTGTCTGCTCCACAGTCCATATCCCGTGTCCGTGTCCGTGTCCGTATCGTGTCCCTGTTCCTGTCCGTGTCCGTGTCCCTGTTCATTGACTTTGGCAACGACAGCCTGCGATGCCAGCGATGGGCACAAGGATGCAGGACACACAGTGTGACTTTGTTTTTAATACACTCGACTCCTCGACTCTTCTTGACTCTGCAACACGCCGCTTGCAGCCTGCATCGATCGCCCGGACAAACACGGCTTTGTCGCCGGTCTGTGGCGTGCCTCGGTTCATTACTCCTCCGGCCGTGTCCTGTACAAAGCCGCCATCTGCCAGCCGCCAGCTGCCAGCCGCCATGACTCTTACTTTTTTGTTTGGCTGTTGTCGAAGCTCACGTCAGGCCCTGACAAAGATTATCAATAACAAGACCAAAGAAGATATCTGTGTGCGCTGTGTGTGCCTTGTCCTTGCAGCGGATATTGGCTATGCCACAAAACTTGTTGGCTCTCCTCCCACTGGCCATTGGATAGTCCTGTTCTCTTGTGTCCTGCCTTGCCCATGATATGGAATATCCATAACCTCATTTGTGCTAATATTTGATGGCATCATAGATGGTCTTATATGAGCCCCTCATTTCATTTGAATCATTATTTGGGGGCAAGTTCCTTTAAAAGAAGAGGCCAGAAGGTTATTAAGTTTACGGCGTGACGTATGTTGGAATTGTGATCTACAACTTTCTGCCGAATATTACCACCAATGCAATCGATTGTCCTTCGATGTGTTTGTCTTCCCTCCAAGATGTTCCCCAATTTCCAGCATCCGTTCCATGTTCCATTTGTTGTTCCATTGTGAGCCAAAACCAACAGCCGTTTGGCAATTTTTGGAATACCCAACCCCTCCAGCCTCGCACCACCTGTCCCCCGCCCAAAACTCACATAATAATTTGCAATGTGTTCTGGCAGGAAGTTGCCTCTGGAAGTATGTTGAAATACTACGGCGAGGGGCAGGCGGGCTGTTGGGGCAGCCAGGTGGGAGAAGAGTCCATGGTCGAGCTTGTCATATCCTGTTGGCATCGCTGACAGACGCCGCGGCAGTGGTGGCCCAGAGGTTCAGGTGGCCCCGCCACTCTCTCTCTCTCTCTCTCTAGCTGCCAGGCGGAAGTGTGAAATATTTGTTGCCTGCCCCCAAAACCACTCCCTCCCTCCAGTTTCCATGCCTTCCTTTTTCAGAATTTACCTTCTCCTTATGTGCAATGGAATTTCTGCGCTGGAGCGTATTTTATTGGCATTTTGTAGGAAATTTGTGGCCAGCTATGAATTCTTTCGCTTCGTTTTGGGTTCAGCAATTTTCGTATTAAATTTTTCTTCGGCTTTTTCCGCTTTCTACAATTTCTATGTACATTTTCCCTGGAAAATCTCTCAATTAAAACATCTGAATTCGCATTGTGCGTTGTGCGTATAATTGATTTAGCCAAATTGTTAACCGATTGAACGCGGCCAAATTGTGCGGGCCATTCGATGGAGCAGAGCACCGTCCTGGCACAGACAGGGAACAGGTCCTGCCGCCCTGGGGAGCCTTTTAATTTCACGCATGCAGTGCATAAATTTGGCATTTGGCATTTGCATTTTACATTTCTGCAGTCGGCCCTGATTATGGGACACTTGTCAGTGGATTTGCATGGCAGAGCGGTTCGAGTGGCAGTCCGTAGTCTGCAGTTTTCCCAATTCCCGATTAGATGGTGGGCATAATCAAGGGATAATCCATAGATTACATTAAAGTTACTCAATTTTCAGTTGGATTTCCATCTCTTCTCATTCTACCTGAGACTCTTTTATTTATATGCATTTTTGTTTTTATTTATCTTTGAATTTGATTATCTAGAATTGTTTAGATTCGAAATTCAAAGAAATCTAGTGAAGATCAATGCGTAATTCAATTGCATTGCATTTAAGATTGTTCATGAATCAGAGAATCGTCAGAAAAAGCTGATCAATTATGGAATATAGCAAGAGTTTTGTGGTTTTGTGGTTCTGCGGAAGATCGATTTATATTTATGAGGAGTAAGGGGAGGGAAATATATTTATATTCTTTGACTATCGGGCATAATTAACACTACCCTAAAAAAAACTTTGCTACATACGATGCCAAAATCCCAGCAACAACATTGTTGTTCCCGAAAAGTATTTTTATTACAAAGAATCTTGACACTATTTACAATCAATGTCTCCTCATACGATTTACGAGTTAACCGGGGGCTGCAACATGCGGCTTGCAACAAGATATTCTCTGTAAATTCCGCACCTGTCAGCGCCACCTCCGTCAACGCCTTCTCCTCCGCCTCCTCGAAAGGTGCCAAAGGTGCATGTTTCAGTTCCCAGACGCTCTGGGAATGTTTATGCTAATTAAATTGACTTTAGAGCATAGTACAGCCTCCTCTTTACGCGAACGAGTACGCGTACGATTATATCTCTCTTCTGGCAGAGATGTTTGTTCAAAATGTGGGTCAATTATGCGATTCGTCGCGTCACAGACAAAAATGATGGGTGGCATGGCACCGGGGCACCGGGGCAGCGGTGGTGCCAGCAGCACATCCATCAGAGGCAGTGCCTGGCATTGAATTGCTTTGAGAAGCTTTGTGTGTAAGTGGGAGAGAGGGGAGTCCCCTTTATTAGGAGGCGGAACAGCAGGTTGCCTTACGTAATTATTTGCCAAATTCACACTGAGAATTGAGATGCAGACTAGAGATGGCCACGTGCTGTGCTCCGTGCGGGTCCGTGCAAGCAATACGCATATGTACATAAGCACGAAAATGTCCGTCGTAAGAAGTTGAGAGCCAAATCTATATGAGGTGACGCTGAAACCTGAATCTGTGGTTCATCACATCCTGCAAGCAGTTATCCGCTAAAACCTGAAGCTCTGGTCCGTTTTCCTGCAAGCAGTTCTCCGCTAAAACATGAAGCTTTGGTCCATGATCAAGAAATTATCAAGCAGTTCGCTGCTGAAACCTGAAGGTTTGGTTCTTTTCATCCTGCAAGCAGTTCGCCACTAAAACCTGAAGGGGTGGTCTATTTTCCCTTTACCACCAGGTGATCCACAGAAACCTGAAGCTTTGGTTCGTTTTTCCTGAAAATTTTTGCCGCACAGTCATATGTGTGCTTTTTTTTGGGGCTCTCGCTGTAGGATTCCCAACATTTTGTATAATTAGATTATAAATGTTTGCGAATACGTATGTTATCTCCAAAAAGTGCTTCCCCATGCCTGTTTATTGGTTAAAGTTTCGCAATCTTTGGTGATAAAAAGATAAAGTTGGATCGAATTTCACTAGCTGTTAAGATTACCATTTCAAGAATCGAATTCCCATTCTATGAATCGCATTCCTATTTCCGAATGATCTTTCTGCTGATCACAGTCCTATCCCATCCAATGATGTTCTAGGCAGAAGGGACTCCCTCCATGGGAAAATTATTCCTTGAAGGCAAGGCAGTACATATTTTGTGTTAACTGACTCGATTGTACATTTGAGGCACGCGACCATCTCTAGGACAGACCCAACCGCTAACGAGCCATAGCCCATTGACATTTTCGACACCCTCTACCAGCCCCAGCCGGCAGCAGCACCACATTCGTCCCGCCTCTACACAACACCTACCTCCACGCCTCCACACCTCCACTCCTGCTGTCCTATGGGCAATCAATCAACAGCTGGCGGTTGTCGTCGTTGTCGCTTTCGCTCATTATGACAATCGAAATATAGATAGAATTTGGCAACAGAAAAAAGCCGTGAATGATGGGAAATATTGTTTATGATTAGGCCCTGGCAAATTGCTTAGTCAACGGCGACCGAGGGGATTCTGGACATCCGGTCGTCCGGCAATCGGAAATAATTATCAGAATTTGTGACGATAAGATTAGAGTTCTGATGCGTGTACGATTTGTGGCTGCCACCCGAAAGTATGCTGTTATTTTACCAAAATGTATTCCAGACTAAATCGCTGCCAAAAAGCTGATGTTTATGGGCAAATTGTACAGATAAAACTAATACAGATGCACTCGTGTATAGCCTCCTGCTATGATTCCTGCATTACATTCATTAGCGCATTGCATTGGAAGTGCAGCGCTGGAAGGCCCATGATTCCCTCGAATTCAGTTTATTTTGCTTTTTACAATGGTATTGTTTTATTAACATTACACTTTAGTAGTAAATTATGGTTAATATATGTATGTATATAAATTAGGGTTCGGGTCGGTAAAAACAATTTGGCAAAGTGTCTGCGCACGCACTCTCATTAAAAAACAAAAAAAAAAAGAGTTATAAATATATCAGTGGATCAATTAACATCAAAGTAGTGCTAAATGGGGGCTTTAGTGTGGCATTAATCATACATAATTCAGACATTATTCATACGTTATATAAATCAAATGCAAAAAAAACTAAAACAAAACTAAAACTGGAAGTACCCCCAAATATCCCCCGTACCCTCTCGACCCGCATTGGGCGACTCTTCACTTCGATGATAGGCGTTGGGCGGGGCTCCCAGCTCTTATCTCCTGCAATGCCAGTGTGTGTGTGTATGTTTGCGTGTTTGCGTGTATCTAGATTTATTTACAATTAATTTTATTTGATTTGTCATACATTTCCTGCTGCCTGAGACACCCATTGTCTCACACACACAGACACTCACATATCAGCCACAATCCACACAGGCAGGGTGCTTCTCTGGCCCCCCGCCTCGCCCTGCTGGATGCACTTCCAATGATTATTGCTGCTGCTGCGTAGCTGCTCTCCCCCACCCCCCCCACACATCACACATAAAGCTGACAATAAAAAAAATTACTGCTGGTTTTCTTTATAAGGTGAGGCATGATTCCTGCTGATCGCATTGACGATTTTCTTTGCCACTCTCTCTTTCGATTTCTTTTTCGAGTTGAACGGAAACGGGATAGGTCTCCTGCTGTAAGAGCACTCTTTGGGAACGCCTCACCTTGTATTGATACACCTTGACTCATTCGCTCACTCATCCACTCACCACACATGCACTCTCTCTCATAAATTCACTCTGACACGGTCTCTCACACGTACATTAGCTTTAACTGTAAACCACATGCAATATTTTTTGTTTTCTTTTTTTTTGTGTGCAAAAAAAGAGTTTTCTGCAGTTTGTTCTCTCTCTTTGTCGTCGTCGCTGTAGCCGTCGCCGTCGCCGTTGCTGTTGCTGTTGCCGCCCTACAGCAGCTTGCACATGCGACGGGGGGGCCTGCGCACCACCGGACAAAGCACAGAGCGGATGGCCTCGTCGAAGACCGTCTTCAGGCCCTTCTGGGTCAGAGCCGAGCACTCCAGATACTTGACGGCTCCGATCTCCTTGGCCATGGCCAGACCCTGCGGATAGGTGATGGGCGTCAGCTTCTTGTCCTTGAGCTTCTCGATGGTGGCCTTGTCATCGCGCAGATCCAGCTTGGTGCCCACCAGAATGATCGGCACACTGGGGCAGTGGTGACGCACCTCGGGGTACCACTTGGCCCGCACGTTCTCGAAGGAGGCGGGATTGACCAGCGAGAAGCAGATGAGGAAGACGTCCGTCTGCGGGTAGGAGAGCGGACGCAACCGATCGTAGTCCTCCTGCCCGGCCGTATCCCACAGTCCCAGATTGATGGGCTTGGCATCCACCATCACGTTGGCCGAGTAATTATCGAACACCGTCGGGATGTATTCTCCGGGGAAGGCATTGGTCGTGTAGCTGATCAGGAGGCAGGTCTTGCCCACGGCTCCGTCGCCAACAACAACGCACTTGATGGCCTGCATGACGTAGTCGCTGCTGTGGAATCTATGTATATAGATTGCTGGTGGGTGGTGGTTCAGTGGTTCGGTGGTTCGTTGGTTCGGCGGGGGTGTTCGGGGTGCTCTGCCGTTCAACAAGTTTTTCGCTCTCGCTCTCGCTTTGGCGTTGGCGTTTTTATTTTATTTTTTTGGCGATTATACAATAATTTTTGCTCACGCACTAATACACACACACACAAACACGCACAAACACTTACAGTTTCGTGTATTGCAATAACAGATCAACAGTTATTCCAGCAATCAATGAATATGCGCCGACACTGTTCTTGTTTCTCTTTTTTTTTCTTTTGCAAAGATTTGTTAATGAATTAATTGAGTGCCCGCACAGAGGGGAGAGGAGACTGCCTCCAGAAGTGCATGCGATCGATGGCCAGCAGCTACAGAAAACACACCCAAACGACGCCTTCAGTGAGCGGAGAAGCAATGAAAATTGCTGACAGAATCCAACGCGTTGGCACTCTCCAAAAGTTTGTGGGGCCATGGTGCATAGGTTGGGCTCCGCTCTTCGGGGGCCCTAGTTGTTTGCCAGCCACTCTCTCGCTACTGAATGCATAGCGAGCGGCCTTGCTGAGTTCCCCATACCCGCTTTGATTCTACCATGTCTGTATGCGGCCACTCGAACATAGGCCATCCCGCTTGCTCGAGTGCGCCAGCTACCTGCCGCTGAGTGTGTTGCGCACGCTCCCCAGAGCCCGAGCCAGTGCCAGAGAGAGCCAAAGCCACAGTCGCCTCTCGAAAAATTAGTCACAGTGCGCCGCGCCGAGTGAGTCATCCATCCACCATCCACACATGTGGTGACGTTAATCGTTGCTGTGCGAGCAAGAGAGTCGCAGAGAGGGCGAGACTGTGGCTGGCTGGGGCTGAGGCTGAGGCAGCGCTCTCTCTTCAGTTGACCCTGCTTTGGTCTTTTTTGTAGAGTTTTCTATATTTGTCTGCGGCTTTTCCATGAATTTCCCTGCCCGTTATGCTATCGCTGTCGCCGCTGATGATGCCGTTGATGCTGTTGATGTTGTCGTTGCCATTTCTTTCGTGCGACAATTTCCACAAAATTAGTTACAATACAATACACAGCGACCAATGGATTCTGCTGCTGCGCTGCGCTGCCTCTGCTCTGCTCCCTCTGCCGTTGACTGCTTTAATGGACCGCAAAAATGCGTGTGTTGGCTGAAAGACGGCGCTTCGAAGACCGAAGCTTCAAATACTCTTGCAGATAATTTCCTAATTGGAAGAAGGGAAAAACTAGACAGAGACCGAGAAGTGATGCATTCACGTTTAGAACGATACCATCCATGCGTTGCAAAAAGCCTTTACAATAACATAATACCCACCTTTTGAAGGGCTTAAAAATGCACAAAATATCGACAGCAAACCAAACCGAATCCCAAAACACAACCGAGGTCCAAACCGAAACCGAAACCGAATCCGCATTCAGCCACATGCGATAGCCAAAAAATCCAACCAAAAACCGATGTTTGTGTGTGTTGTTTCCGTTCTGCCCACAACTCCCAGCCTCCCACTTCCACAATTTTCCAGCACATGCAATGAATTTCCGTGCATTTTTGCATCGAAGTGTTTTAAAGTTCTGCCTGGGAAATGTTTTTCCGTTTAAGTTAATTTCTTGCGCTGATGCCACTGTAATTGGATAATTAAATGGGCGCCAATGCTTTGGCAGCGGTCCCCATGTGATTGAGAATATGAATATGACTATAAATATTCATTTGAATGAATATGAGTGTGAATTTCAATAATCAAAATTATTTCAAAATGTTTTTAATGGAATTTATTGTTAAAAATCCGCAACAATTAAATCACCAATGGAATCCATTCAAGTGGAATAAATGTTTCTGTTTCGGTGGAATGCGTGCGTGTGGATTCGATTCCATGCAGTTATGGAATCCCGATATAGGATTCGATGGTTAAGTGGAGTCAGGTGTTTCAAAAAGTACTGATGTTGGAAAATAATTCGATACTTAATTGTGGAATAAAGTTAAAAAAAGACTAACCTTTTTTTTGGTTCAATTCTGTTAAAATCTAAGAATTTAAAGCTCTGGTTCAGTTTCGCTTCACAGGCAAATGATCAAGCAGTTCTCTGCTGAAACCTGAAGGTTTGGTTCCCTTTTCTATGAAATGCTCCTGGCAGCAGTTCGTCTAATAAACCTGAAGCTTTGGTTCAAGCAGTTCCTCACAAGCAAATGATCAAGCAGTTTGCTGCTGAAACCTGCAGGTTTGGTTCCCTTTTCCATGAAATGCTCCTGGCAGCAGTTCGTCTAATAAACCTGAAGCTTTGGTTCAAGCAGTTCCTCACAAGCAAATGATCAAGCAGTTTGCTGCTGAAACCTGCAGGTTTGGTTCCCTTTTCCATGAAATGCTCCTGGAAGCAGTGTTTCTCAAAGTCTAAAGCTTTGGTTCAAGCAGTTGAAGCCAATAACCAAGCAGGTCGTAGCTGAGACCTGAAGGCTTGGCTCTCCGCTGAAAAATAAAATTGTTGTCTTTACTGGTTATAAAATTACCGCCAGGCTGTGAAAATACGATAAGCGGATAACAAACGCATATCATTCAAAAAATTAAGAGTAAATGACATAGATTTAATAACAACAATGAGCCTTTCGCGGTAATCGCTGGCATATTCAGACGTTTATCCGCGAATCCTTTTACAGCATACCCCCCATTCCGACCCGCTCGGAACCGACGGATCCATTGCAAAATGGAAAATGGAAAACTGTGCAAATAATTAAAGCGAAAAGAGAGATATGGTAAAGGAATGATATGTAAATATACTCGAATATACGAATATGTATATGCCAGTCGGAGCAACAATTATTTGATTACTGTCGCAAACGTCATCGTTTGCCTTCCCATAGGTCCTCTACCCCATCTGTTTTCCCTGCCACGTAATTGGTGAAGTGATATATGTATATGCGCATATTCCGCACCCCACTCTCCGTTCGTTCGCCCGTAATCGATCCCGCACACACACACACATGCCACGCCCCCACATTCCGGGCCAGCTCCGGACCATTATGTGCAGAGAGTTATTCATAATTGTTGTTGCACTCCAAGTGGCAGAGAAATGCATAACAAACTGGAAAATATTCAAGCCATTTTTATTGCCACACCAGACGGACCGCACACAGAAACACAAACACACATTTACCCACACACAGATGCAGATACGGATACAGACGGGGCGATAATGAATGAATGCACGCTAAAGAACCGCAGTCTGAACCGTAGAACCACTGTCCCGACCCGACCCGACCCAACCCAACCCGACCCGACCCGAAAAAAGCGGAATAAAACAAATATATGCCACATGACTGCAGCGTCGGACAGGACCCACAATAACAATGCCGACGACCAGCAATAAATTTAACACTTTAACAGTCCTGTAAACAGATGCCCTAGCCTGTGTCTGTAGTTAGAGCTCCCAAATCGGATATTACTCTCATAATTATGATTGCAAAACACTTGGTGGGTTTTTCAGGGAAAAGCAGTTTTCTTGAGACCCTTTTTATCGTTCGTTTCTTCAGCCGCAAGAGGGTCAGCGAACAATTATCGTGAGTGTATGGATGAGTGATACATGGACCCAGATTGACTTTGCGGTTCCTTCCAGACCTAACCGAACTTTCTAGACTGTTTAAAATTGTTTTCTTTCTTTGCTCCCCTGTATTTATCGTTAATTCTCGTCCATAGCTAGCACCAGCAAAAATCTCAAAAATAAAGTTATATAAAAGATCCCAATATCGCAACCTTGTATATTTGACAGCATATTTTCAGGCTTTATACAAAATTAAACGTTCGATCTCGCGATCCACTCTGTCAATGGGCTGCAAAGGGGTAAGGACGTCTTAAACTGTCGTTACTCGTAGCTCAGCATCACGGTTTTAAGCCGTTTATTAATTAAAATTCAATTGAAATTTTCGAGCAATTTGGGATGTGCAACCTTTTAAGATTGCTTTCGAGTAATTATAAATAAATTAAATGTATATTTTCGCTCTGTCGCATGTGGCATTGGAGTTTCTGGCAGCAATTAAACTTAATAATATATACATATATAGATGAATTCCATTCGCGGCGATCGAAAAGTGAAATTTGCACTGGCATTTCGGACTCCCGCGGAGATGGCAGTCCATCCGTCGCATGTCCGCCGTGTTAAAGCGCGTGGATTTTCTTTGGGGGTAATTGTTTAAATACTTTATTTTTTTCCATTTTTCCGTTTCCATTTTCCATTGCCGTTGCCGTTCGTTTGCAAATTTAATTTATTTAATGAGCAGCGCAATAAAACGCATTTACTGTCAAGTGATAAAATGGTATTTCAGTCGAGGCTGCTCCTGTTAACCCGCCCCCACCGCCGCCTCCGTTTGGGATATTTTTCATTTATATGTGCCCCACATGACAGGCGCACGCCCCGGCCCCCGGCCCCCTGCGAACCCTCTCCTGCTGTTGACATGCAGCAATTATTAACTTTTGTGCGGCTGCTGCCATGGTGCCGTGTGTTTGTTATTAATTTCTTGTTATTTATGCAAATAGTTGGCACTTAATACTCGCACGCTTGCATTTACATTGCATATCGTACACATACGATACGTATATCTGAGTCCCTTTCTGTTCCCTTGCTTTTTTTTTGTAAAATGCTTTGTGAATTACAATAAATTAGCAGCACCAGAATGGTATGTCCCTCATATCCTGGTATTTTCCGGATTATTATTTGTAAAATATGTGGATATGAAGATCTAATAGGAGTGCAAAAGGCATGTCCCATCCGTGCAAGACTCCAAGAATTAAAGGAACTGTGCGTACCACAGATATTTTCAAATCATTGGTAAAAGGCCTAGGCACACGAGCCTCTTTCTTCAGCCTGTTGCACACGTCCAAACATGAACTAAGAACGGAGCCGAGAATACTCCAACAGAAAGCGGGTGCAGAGCATCGCAGCGGGCACGTTCACCGCTTATCGACAATGTTGAGCTCTTTTGAGGAATTTAAAAGTTTGCTAAGGATGGGGATGGGAAGTAGGAGCAGCATCCTGGTCTGGCCCAGCGTTCTCTGTTCCATAAACTCCACTGAGTTATCGCAGGCAGACGTGAAGTCATCTCTGGTCGCATATGCATTCCCCGGATTCGAGGCGGGCGGGGGGCGGATTCAGTCTGTCCCGGCCTGGCCAGGTCGGGAGGGTCACGTCTGCTGCTATGGTCTGGACGGGTCCGTCCGGGCTTCGTCCTGTTTGACTGCTTATGAATAAAGTTGTTTGCTGCCTTGTCAATACACACATGCCATCATCATCATTCCACCGCCTTCATCCCCATTCCCGTGCTCTCCATTCAATTTGGGTTATTTGTCGCTCTATCTGGCACGACTCGTAGCCGTAGCCGTAGCCGTAGCCGACCGACCATCCTACCCCACTGGTGGCTCCTTTTGTTGACTTTTCGGCTTTTTGAATGGGCCACGGAGATGTCTATTCATTTTTTGTGTAGCGCTATTAGGGCTGCCGTCATCGTCATCACTCCCCCGAGCAATTTGAAATGAAAAGTTCTCTGTCACATAAACATATGTACATATGTATGGATGGGAAAAAGAAACACACACAAGATGATATGTGCCTGTGCCACCCCTTGCCCACACTTGCAGGCTGTAAATAGCAACAGGCGTGGTGACGAAATGTGTCCTTTGACATTTGATCGCCTGCCTCCGATAATCCTGGCCAGGGCATCACCACCTCGTTGGCTCTTCAACAGCTACAGCTCCAGCTCCAGCAGCAGCGGCAGCGGCTGCTTAATGGCTTGCTGCATTATTTATAGCACGTCGCGTTTCCCATCAGAACGCTTTAACACGAGTGCAGAAAAAAAGAAGCCAGAAATATAGTCCACACAAGTCGTTGACTTTAAGCCGTAGACAATGCAGGGCATTAGGCGGCTCGATCCCGGACAAGATGCAGCTGAAGTAATTAAGCACTCGATGGGTACGAGAGTCCACAGAATGTTTGGAGCGGCTTGTCCTGCAAGGAAGATGCCACTTCTATGAAAATCAATCATTCTTTTGGGCTGCAGGAAGAAAGGGGATGTTGCTGACAAAATAACAAAAGTTTCTCGGCCGAAAGGATGGAAAATATAGCCGTGAGACCCTCTTTTTACCTTTAACTCCAAAGAGTATTCGTTCGTCGGGCTTCTTCGACTCTCTTCAGAGCATTTTAGTGTGTGTTTTCCGCACGCAATTACAAAGTTCAGCTCACATGTAAAGCCGGTTCGGCTGTGGGTCTGGGGACTCCACTGCCTTGGCCGGGACTTTTACTAACTTACTTGCCTCGAAAGCGTCTTAATTTACTTTTGCGCTCAGGCGTCTGGAAAATAAAAGTGCAGCCACTGGCAGGCTTTGTCCTGGGCCTAAAACAACGCCAGCAGAGCAGAGGCAAGGCGGAGAGGGAAGGAGAGAGAAGGCTCAAGGAAAAGAACTGCGGCAATTCGCTGCACCGTTCCTAGCGGTTGAACTTGGGCTTGGGCTTCGGCTTGGGCTTGGGCTGGGGGTTGCCGCTCGGCAGTGCAGTTAATTATAATTAAGCATCTGAGTTAACTTAACCACTTTGAGGCACTCTCTTAACTGAAGGAGCACACATCCGCCCACATCCGCCCACAGCCACAGGAGCAAGGATCCGGAGCAGGAGCCATAGAGCGACTAAGCCACCTGCTGATGGAGGAGCTGCAGCAGCTTTAATGTGTCAGGGCCTTGTCATCGTCATCGTGATTCTTCCTTCTTCCTTCTTCCTTCTTGGTGTTTTTCTTAATTAAAGTTGCGTTCATTAAAACGCCTCCGGCGCCGAAAAGTAGGCCACGAAAAGTGTTGCATATTCAAACGGTTATTCAATACGGTTCTTGCTCCGATTGTTGTCTGTACATACCTCCTCCCCCCGCCCACAGCCACAACAATGCGGTGGTGGGGAGGGGGAAACAAACGTAAGCCGTTATGAGGGAAGCTCGGAATTGAGCCGGCGGCTACATGCCGCCTCGCAGGGATGTTCCTTCATTTGCAAGGACAATGCGACACAAAAATAGAAAGCTTTTGAATGAGTGACTGACTGAATGAGTGAGTGAGTGAATGGGTGAATGCCTGAACGGGTGAATGAATGAATGGATGATTCGGGCAGCCAGGCCGGAAGACGCGGCTGTGGATGTGGATGTGGATGAGGCGAGAATGGCAGGCAGGAATGCCATTATAATAAATAAAGAGCCTTTCACTCATAACTGGCGCACAATGCAGCCAGAGCCATGAATATCCCAGCTACCCTTTATCCCTCTCCTCCTACCCTCTCTTATATCCTTCTTTCTGTCTGACTCTCTCTATCTCTCCGGCCCTCTCCCTCTCTTTGTCAGTCACTGTCTATCTGTGCACCCTGTTTGATTTATGCCAAACAATGCGAAAAACGCTTTTAATAAAAATGATGGCCAAAACCCTTGATACCGATCAATGATACACCATTCTCAAGGAATTGCACCTATTTTCTGGGCTTACTGATATTTACATACATCTGCGGGGATGGCTTAAAGTTTCGAAAACAATATTTATGCAATGCATTTTAGTCAGGTTTTAATTTGTTTCAATATCATTCTGCTGTAAAACGTTTTTTATGGATTATCGATATATTCGAATTCCGTGGCACAGTGTCATCTACCATTTTGGCTCTCCTTTAACACTCTTTAATCAGATGATTTCTCTCCGCATTAGACTCAAGTCGGGGCTTCCCAAAAAGCTTTCCCAATTAACACCAACTGCCGCGTGGCCATAAATCTGCAATAAATACAGGGAGTGGAGCGGAGGGGATGGAGAGACCGGTCTGGATAGCGTCGAGCGATTGCATAAAAATCACATTAACAATTTGCTAGTACACGAGTATTTTATTTTTATTGCTGCATGTTTTATTTTTATTTCATGCACGTCTTTTGTACATATTAATGCCCTTCCTCGTGTGGAGTGAAAGAGACGAGGAGTATGAGAGCTATGCAAAGGACCTCCACACATCACACGCACACGCACACATTGAACACACATGTTGCCACAATGTGGCACGAGGCCAGGAGACAGGCGGCAGAAGGCAGTGCAGTGTTGCGCCATCGAAAGCGCAATAAAAACGCTTAATTTTTCACTTTTACATGGACGCCGACAGAGTTACGTCCTTCCCCTCTCTCTCATATCCTTACATATCTCTTTCTCTCTCTCTCTCTTGCTCCAACGAGGTGTTGGCAAACTGTGAATCCTGCGAGGGGTAATGGTGTTGCTGAAGCGAGTCCTCGTCCTCGTACTGCTCGTATGTGTAAGCCATTTGAAAGTTATTTAATTTAATAACAAGCACAAAACATGTTCCAAGTAAAAGCAAATGGACATAAATATGAGAGGGACTCCAAAGGAAACGGGGAAGCATGAACGAGAACGAGAGAAGACCCAGGGAAAGTGCTTACAAGGGAATCCCCTTAAATTCCAGGAAGTCGTTCCTCTGCATTTGGAAAGAGCTTTAAATAAATGCGATTGACTTTGCACAGTTCTCGTGCCTTTTATTCCAATTTCTATTCAACTGATCAGCAATCTGCTGAAGGCAGTCGGTATTCCCTAAAATATATCTTAAATTAGTTACACGGCGCCCTAAAAACCTCCCTCTTCTTTAAGGGAAAGGTTAAATAGAAAAAAAAAGAAACGAAGGCAGAAAAAGTTCCTTTCAATTAAAAAGGCATTTTTGCATTTTAATTGCCACGCGATAAGATGCAAATCCCCAAAAACAACACAGAATCCCTGCCATATACGCAGTACTCGTGTGTGTGTATGTCCTTATAAATGAAACGCAAATACGCGGACAGAAACCGATACGACCGATACGCTACGCTACGGTGATATCCATTTGATATTTAAGCCGAACGACAAACAACGACGACAGCGACAGCGACAGACAGGAACATGGACGGGCAATGGGCAATGGGAATGGGAATGGGAATGAGAATGGGAACGGGATCACAGACAGACAAAAGGACAACAAAGTGGATGCGATTTTTATTTATTGTGGACGCACTTGCTCTGGTCTTATTTTACAGATTTCCCAGCAAAAGCCGGACAATCTGCGGCCAGTCACAGATTTGGAATCGCTGGAAAAGTGAGGAATCAGCAGAGCCGTGGGGTAGGACTCAATCCTACTGAAAATGAAATAAGCTGCAGCGGTGCAAACAAAGCCGTCAGCAAAGCGCCGTCTAAGCCACAACAACAGTCGGCAAACGCGGAAAATACTGCAAAAAGTAGCACAAACAGTCAGCAGAAACAGGAGCAAGAACATCACTAGCAACAGCTGCAGAAAAAGTAACAGAAAAGTCAGAGAAACAGCAGCAGAAACAACAGAAAGGGGAACAGCAAGGAGTCGCCAGGATTGCTTTCTTGTACTTTGGACACACGTGCGCCGCGGCTGCGCCGGTGCCCGTGAACGTGCCCGTGTCCCTGGGAGGTCCTGGTCCTGGTCCTGGTTCCATCTCGGTGACATTGCCACCCTCAACCATGAAGCTGTCAAAGCTGTCCAACCAGACGAATTCCCAGGATCCGCAGGCGGTAAACTCGCGCATCTTTGTGGGCAATTTGAATACCTTCCAATGCTCCAAAACGGATGTGGAACGCATGTTCCAGATCTATGGCCGACTGGCGGGTAAGTCGGAACAGAAAGTCCTTCCTCTACGATTATATGCATACGTAACGTTATTCTCTTTGGCTTTTTGTCGCAGGCATATCCATGCATAAGGGCTATGCCTTTGTGCAGTTCACCAACCCCTTCGATGCCCGCAATGCCTGCCACGGCGAGGATGGCAAGACGGTCCTCAGCCAGACCCTAGGTGAGTACTGCTGGCCGTAGGCCTAGAAAACCTAAAGGAAGGAACGAACAGTGGTTGTGGATGTTTTGTGGGATATGTATCACATCTATCAATGAATATTTGATGAAATATCAAAGAGAATATCCTGATTCAATATTCCACTAAACCTGAATGCTTCCTTCTTAAAGAAACGAAACGCTCTGTACTTTAAAAATCCTCCACGTCGAAGGCAGCTGCTTTGCATAGACATTCCAGACCTTAACCCTCGCCCCCGGACAAGGGCCGGGCCGGGCCGCTGCAGTTGCATGTCCATTGTGGCACAAGGATAGCGCGGGTCGTCAGGTTAATGGCCGCCGGCACCGGAAGCGCAGCACTAAAATCGAACCAACGCGCGAAAAAAGCTGCAAAGTGGGAGAGTCGTAGTCAGAATCTGAGGATGAGTATGGCTTTGGCTTACATACATAGTAGGAGGCAATGGTAATGAAGGAGCCGAGCCGAGCTGGCAACGGCAAAGGCAAGGCAAAGGCAAAGGCAACGGCGACCCTGGCATGTGTAGTGGCCATATCTTAGGCACCCTACCACAAGCGGCTGTCTGAGTATTTTTCCCGGCCAGAGCGGAAGTGGCTGCAGGCCGCAGAAACTTAAAGTGCGGCCGACATAAATCTTGGCGCGATACTTTTAATGAAATTTCAATGTTGTGCTGCCTGTCTGTCTGTCTGACAGTCTGATTGTCTGACAGCCTGACTACCTGGCAGCCACTACCGATGACTGTCTGACTGGCTGGCTGGCTGGCTGACTGGCTGGCTGCTTGGTAATTTCGTTTGAGCGTTTAATGAAATAATTCCAGTTGCCAGTTGCCAGTTGCAGCTGCAGCTGCAACGTTGACGTGCCACCGATTCGCTTTCGCCATTCTTTGGCAGTGCGTTCTGGCTGTGAATCCTCCATTTTGCTCGTGTGAAGAACAACTTAATGCACTTAGCGCGCTGTGTCAGCTGATGGAGATGATGGCCAGAATGATGGAGGGGGAGAAGGGAATGGGAGCTGGAGATGGAGATGGAGATGTAAGGCTGGCAGCGGTGCTGGTGCGGATGCTTCATATTCATACGCCCCGCTGGCAGGCAAATGGAAAGAAAGAACTTAACAGCACTCATAAAAAGCTTTCGCTCTGCTTATGCAAATGCAGAACGCTAAATGTGGAATGCTAATTCCTCTGATTAGGAACGAGAACCAACAGCTCTCGAGTCGCAGAGTGAAGTGGAGCCGCCGCTGCCGACTGTAATATTTCATTGCTACGCGCCATTGACTCTGGAGTCGGGTGGAATGCTGCCAGGCCGCAGCTAAACCGATTGAAGCAGGACTGGACCGAGGCCAGAAGCAGGAGGAGGAGGGGGAGCAGGAGCAGGAGCAGGAGAAGGAGCCTTAGTGGAAATCCTTCTTATGCTTTTATCCTTAATCTTAATTATAGCCTGCCTGCCGAGCAGTCAGACAGCAGGGCGGCAAGCAGGAAACAAAAACAGAGAGGAAGGCAAGGAATGGAATGGAAAATACTGAAACAAAGCAGAAGATGGCAAAGACAAGGCCCTGAAAAAAAAGAAAGTGGAAAAGCTATCACGCCTCCCACCCACACCATCAGCTTTCCCCTCCTTCACTCACCAATTTGTAGTTATAGCAACGTCTCACTCCCATTTCCCTGCTCTGATTCTTCCTTTCTCTCCCTCGCTCTCCCCTCCCTTTGACTGCGGCTTGTGTTTTGGCCGCGTAGCTTCTGGCCCTAAGCCCCCCAGCGGCGCAGCCGTCGCACTTCAAACTTTGTCATGAATTATGATGAACGAGCGTGGGCTGTACGAGTGTCTTCCCACCATTTGTTCCCCCTTGCACCGCCCCCTCCTCCCATAGATTCCTCTACAAAAAACCAGCCTCTGTCGCACCCTTTTCATTGAAAAATGAAATGCATGAATCCGTTGCTTCCAGATATTTGTATACCCTTTAACCGAAAAGAACAGCAGAACAGCTGAGTTTTCACACAGTTTTTAGAGTGGAAAAGAGAATATTTAATCAATACACAACTTAATCAAGCATTTGTTGTAAATTTACTTGAAATCTAGCTTTGTATCTCCGATGCAACTTCCATTTCATAAATGAATGTAGAGGGCATTTGTTCTGCGACTTCCTGAAAGCCACCACCTCCGGCCTCATTGTTTTTTTTATGCATAAACAAGAACTGACAATGTATACAGTTTCGCCTGTGGTGCAGTTTTATTAAGATTAATGATTGGGGGGGTGAAGTGATGTCAGATTGAATTAGTCGTGGTTTGGGAATGCAGCTGGCCAATGTGGATATGCATGCAGACAGAGCATAGCAATTTTTTAATCACTCACAGCTCGTCCATTCATTTGCATAATGAAAGGATCTGAAATGATAAAGGCCCCGCCCAGATAGAGAAAGGATTCCATTCCTCCTATTGTCCTGCCGGTCTTTGTGGATGATGTTGTTTAGAAGACAATGACTTCAAAGGACCCCGAAATTTGTGTGTATTCTGTTTATACTTTTTTTTTTTGGGCCCCCAGCAGATTGCCTTTTGCAATTAGGAATGGGGAATCCGAATCCATCTAATCTTTTTTCTCTCTCTGTTCCCTTGCAGATGTGAACATGGTGGCCGAACCGAAGGCACACCAGATCGGAAGGAAGCGACAGAATGTGAGCAAGACGGGAAACGATTGGTGAGTGCGCCCAGCCCTCCCCCCCCAGCCCTCCCCCGCGGGAAAATTACGATTACGATTATTCGGAATGCCTTCTGGGATACATCTCCATTGCAGCTCATTTCAATTTAATCTAAAAGTTTATTTTGGTCAATTTAACGCCGCCATGTGGCATGTGGCATTCATTTAGAGTTTATTTACATATCATTTAACGGCTTGACTTTCGCTCGGTTTCGCTTGGACTGTTCTGGGGTTACCATGGGCCACCATGGGGTTGGTCTGTCTATGTATGGGCCAGACCCAAAGTTCCGCCCAAATAAATAAACAAATAAGGAACAATTCATCAGGCGATGGCCATGAGGGCGTCCTTTGTTTCATCGCCCGTCTGGCATAAAATATTTGGCTGTCAACTGCTGGCCGAGTCTCTCCGTTCCCCGTTCCCCGTAACCGTTACGGGCCAAGTTTTCGTCTCCATTTCCCGTCTGCAGTGTGGGTCACTCGAGTATTCCTGTGTACGTGTCCGCGTGTCCGCTCGTCCGCTCGTCCGCGTGTCCGTGTGGGGAGAGAGTTCGAGTGCTGCGTCAACACACTCCGAGTTCTTTCTGCGAGTTCTGCGCTGTGAGTGACAGTTGCAATGTATGCCATAATGTCCTGGTTGTCCTGGTTGTCCTGACTGTCCCGCCAGGAGCTGTGGCTGGTGCTGGAGCTGGTACTGGCTCTGACATGTGCACTTGTTTGTCCTGGCGCGGCCTTAATGATGACTGAGCGACATCCACAATTTATTTGGGTCTTGAGTCCCGGCCACGCCGCCTTGCCAGCCTTTTCCACTCGTGTGGAAATATTTAATTTAAGCTTAATGACGCCGAAGTGAAATGCGTTACGGCTTTAAAAGGACATCGCCGTGGGGCAGGAGAGGAAATCCATCTGACATCGACTTGATTGTAATTAAAACGCAAACATGTCACGCTCCAGCCCCATCCAGTGGATTCGCTCAGTCCAGGTGCTCTTCTGTTCGTCATTAAACGGCTGCTTTCAGTCATTTTCGCCGCTCCCCAGGTCCACCCTCTCCACTGACTCTCTTGACCACACACAAACCAACCGAAAAAGCCGCAATTGTTGAGCCACACCCCCACTCGCAGCACCCAGAGTCCTGAATGGCCCACTCCGGTACTCATTTGACCACAAATGGCTGGCTTCACTGAAGGCGGGGGAGAAGGGTGTCTCGGGTCATTGCATCAATCACTGGCAACATAGCCCGGCGGGAGGGCGAACAAAATTGCCAAATGACAATACAAACGGCAGAGCAGCCAGAAATGCGGGAAATGCGGGGCCTAAACAAATATTGACTGACAGACGGACTGATGGCCAGGGACTGACAGACGGACAGACTGACTTACAGACACTGCACTGCGGTGGGGCAACAGTTGGCAGGTTGTTCATTTTCAGTTAATGGGAAAGGGTATCCAGTTGATTTCTTTGTTGCATACTTTTCGGGGGCTTCTCCAGACAGTCCCCGACACTTCAATTAGCGAGCAAATGTTTGCCGAGCGTATTACCTCCTGTGTAATGATATCCTTCCGTCTGCTTGTGCCTCCCTCAGGGACTACTTCTACGACAGCTACTGCTCCTCAACCCTGCTGCGGGGCGGTGGCGGCGGAGGCGGCGGAGGCTCCAATGGAGTCCGTGCAAAGAAGCGGAAGCGCCTGATGACCAATGGAAACGGCCTGGCTGTGGCCGTGCAACAGCAGCAGCAGCAGCATGGGCAGCACCATCACAGTGCAGCCGCGGTGGCCGCTGCTGCGGCGGCAGCCGTCCACCACCAGCACCAGCAACAGCAGCAGCAGGCGCAGCAAGTGCAGCAGCAGCAGCAACAGCAGCACCATCATCAGCAGCAGGTGGCTGCCGTTGCCATGGCGGCCATGGCCAATTTGTTGCCGCAACAGCAGCTGCTGCTGCATCAGCAGAGTCTGCTCTCAAATGCCGCCACCGCGGCGGCAGTGGCCACCACGGCAGCCACAACGGCGGCTCCCGGTGCCCTCCACTGGTCCCAATACAAACAGGAGCAACAGCATTCGCATCCGCACCAGCATCCCCATCAGCATTCGCATACACATCCGCACCAGCACCAGCAGCAGCAGCCCCAGCAGTTTGGATTTCAGCTGAAGAGCAGCGTGGCTGTCCAGGCGACGACATCGCCGCAAAATGCAAAGTCAGCAATAATTGCTAATCAAACGGCGCTCGCCGAGCAGTACCCGGGTGGAGTCAACGTCGGAGTTGGAGTCGGTGTTGGGAATGGGGCCGCAGCCTTTGCCCATCAGCAGAATCATCAACAGCAGCAGCAGCAGCAGCAACAACAATTGGGATGTCTGCTGCAACCATTGACGCTGGCATTGTCCCCACAGCAGCCGCAGCCTCATCAGGCGGCAACGCCGCTTCAGTTGCACAGCCAATTGATGCAACATCAACAGCAGCAGCAACAACAACAGCAGCAACAGCAACAGCAGCAGCAACAGCAGCAGCAGCAGCAACAGCAGCAACAACAAGCACAGGAGCAATTAAGTTTGCATCAGCACTGGGGACCTTTCAAAGTGTACAGTGAGTATTGACTTGGATGATATTGGAGGGTGGCGATGCCACAAGGAATATTTTAATGGGTGTGTGTGGTCGACTCTAATGACAGTTTGTGGGTTCATCCAGCAGTTCTGTAAGATTTTATCTTTAGAGTCAGCAGCAGTATCACGAAACGTACTGTTTTTCTAGAGCACGAAAATCTTTGGAAGTCGATTGCTTTTAAAAACTACTAAGAAATGCGATGTATCGATAATCGATCGAGCTGTGTCAGCTGTAAGCAGGAAAAGGAAAAGTGTTGTTACTCTGATAAATTATTTTGAATGTTGAGGTTGAGGTTGGCTTAAAAAAAGCATTTATAAAGAAGGCACAAGGAAAATTAACCTGGTAATGGTGTAAATTATATGTAAATGCATTGAAAAATCATATATTTTTTTACTTTTGCAATTAAGATTTTTTTTGTTGCACAAAAGGGCGTTTACTTTTTATTTCTTCGAGGAAAATGTTTCCGTTTTGTAAACGAAAAACCTTGCTTTTTGTGAACACGGGATCATATCTTTTGTGGTTTTCAAAAGTAAATCGAAACATTTTGCCGAAAGGGAAAACCTGAGCCTGCCTGATTGATGACACACATTTTCGAAATCGATCACACGAATCAGCATTGAACAATCGAATAGTATTTCTTTGATAAATCTGTCAAAAATAACTGCTTGTCGATTCCTTCTGTGTGTTTCTCTAAAACTGAGAAATGTTTCCACACGAGGCAAGTGGTAGAGTAAGCGGAGCGGTCGCCCAGTTAGTCGTTCTGATTGCCATGTTGAGCATCGTCAATAGCCTGCACATCCAGCCCAAACAGTTCCAGCTTCAGGAGCCTGTGCAGTCGCTGTGGCAGTCGTTCCCCCTATCTGCACCTTTGGCGGCACCGCCACGTCTGGCGGATGATTACGTCAGCGGGGTACTGAGTCTAAAGGAAAGTCTTCTCAAGAAGCCGGTAGCCGGCGGCTACCGGAGTGGCATGAAGAGCCTGCCACAGATGGGGGAGAAAAGTCAACAGCAGCAGCAGAAGAAAGAGGAGAATGTTGCTTCCTTCGCCCGGTTGATGCCGTCGAGGCTTTCCTACGAATCCCTCAAGAAACTAATGGACATGCCTGCCGTGGTAGAGGCGATTGCCCAGCAGGTTCCGTTTATCGATCCGCAGGCCAAGGAGAACGAGCAATTCACGTCACAATACCCTTTCCAGTTACAGCAGGACGAGTTTCTGCAGCAGGTTCCGTTTATGAATCCGTCGGTCAAGGAAAACGAGCAGATCACACAGGAGGAGTTTCGGCAGCAGAGAACGGTACAGACAAACTATCAAACCCAGTTGCTGCAGCAGCTCCAACAGTTATTCGGGATGCGTCCAAAGTACCAGCCGGAGTTGAATGGGGCTGCGTTGAGCTGCACCGCGGCTCCTGATATTTCAGTGGACAGTGAAGAATGTCAGACGGACTTTCCTGAAGAAGCGGAAACGACAGAGGAGCCCACGGATGGGGAGAAGGTCATCGTGGATGTAAAGCCTGCCAAGCCGGACAAGAACAAGGAAAAAGCAAAGACCACCACACCCAAGCCCAAAAAAAAGACCACCAAGAAGCTATCCTGCTGCACCAAGCCATCCAAGGAAAAGAGCGGCAAGATGCCCATCAGATTCTCCCTGAACTTCCAGAACGAGCAGTCTCAAGAGGACGAGGAACAGAGTCAGGAGACCGAGGAGCATGAGCAACAGCCCCGCACCGGCCGACATGTCTACAATCCTGATCTTTATTACGATGCCTTCGCCAACCGTTTCCGATATCGCCAGGAAAGTAATGCCGAAGCCTTTGGACAAAATGAGATTGAGACCGAAGATATGCAGTTGCAGAGGATGAAGCGAAAGCCGTTGATGAACCCTAGCCGCAATCAGCGTCGAGTCCTGGACAGGCAACGCCTGCTGCAGGCCGAAGTCAAGCTCTGGCCCATCAACATGAGGAATATGATCGATCGTATCCATTGAGATATGAATCTTTTGTTTCTCCTTTAAATATATTTTGTTACTTGATTCGGTATTATAAAAATTACATAAGAAGTTTCTTCTAATAGAAAATGTTAGAAGAATGTTCACAAGAGAGTATTAAGTGATTAAGTGATCTTGGAAGCATATAAACAACTTATTTTTGCCACTCTATCGCATATTTCCAGGCAATCCGGACACATTAATCTGCGGCAATTGCCGGGAATGCTTCGGCGAGCTGTCTGAGTTATTGGACCACAAGAAAAGTTATTGCAAGCTGAGGTTCACATGCAAGTGCCAGGATGTTGCCTTTGCGGCCAGTGCAAGTAAGTGGCGGTGGGGCAGGATGGGGACTGCGACTGGGACTGTGACTGGGACTGGGACTGGGACTAAGACTGGGTGTGGCAGCTTGTCTGTTGGCAATTAATTTATGATTGTTAAACACTTTTTGCCCCCGATGCATGCCCAGGGCCAGGCCCAGACCCAGGCCCAGTCTCAGACCAAAGTGTTTGTCTAAGGCTCATTGTGAGTGAGTGAGTGAGGAGTTGGCCTGTTTGCAAGTCAGCAACATCTGGCTACAGATCCGTATAACCATATCCATATCCAGCATGTCTGGTTGTGCCATGGTCCTGAGGCTTGAGGCTTGCGGCTGCTTGCAAATGCATTTAAAATTGAGTTATTTATGCGGACAGGGCCTCAACGTTGGCCTTCTGCAAATTCCAACTTAAATAACTAATTAATTCTCGCATGTTTCCCCACACACACAAACGCAGAAACGCCACCATCGAGCGCCAAATTGCTTTGCGCCGTTTGCAAGGATGCTTTCGCCAATCCCTGGGATTTGATGGTCCACGCACAGGCCGCGCACATGGTTAACATTTACGAGTTGGGCGATGAGGCAGCCAATGCCAATGCCACCAACAGCGGCGCCGCCACGAACAACCACACATTGAACAATGCCAGTGCAACAGTGGAGAATGGTCATGCAACGCTGGCCGCTGATGAGGCTGCCACAAAGCAGATGCCTGCGTCATCAACACTTAACAAGGAGCCCAATAACAATCACAAAATTAGCAACAATAAGCACAGTACCAGCAATGGCCACATGTCGCCCACAGGCGAGGGCATTGTTCTGGCCGGATCGGTAGAGAATGGAGCTGCCAGCGACACGGATACAAACTGCTTGGTGGACATCAAGTTCAGTCCAAGCCCCAGCCCCAAGGAGGTGCGTGTCATGGATAGCCCGCCCCACCCCATCAACTTCCTTAAGAGATCTGCTGATGCTCAAAACGATTCTCTTGCAGGACCAGCAGCGTGACGACCTGTCGCTGGACGGCCGGATGTCCAGCAGCTCGCAGCAGACGCACCACTCGGACGAGAAGCTCCTGAACGGGTCCGTATCTTCGCGGGGCAGCTCGCCAGGACTCGAGCCCGATGAGCCGCCGGCCACTCGCGCCTGCATTGTGCGAACTCTGAGTATTGTGAGTATGGAAAACCCATTCGATTAGATGCACTCCTGCTTATAATTTGTTGCTTGCAACTTGCAATAGTGCGATTCAAGGCTTCTTGTAGCGTATCTGAATTCCATATAGAACTCATATATTTTTGTTTATTCTTTCGCACACTTGCAGGAGACTTCTGGCCCCACTACGGCACCATCGGCGACCACTGCTCTGAGCCTGATGTCGAATAGCCTGAGTCTGGCCCTGGCCCCACAATAGGTCGATCGGGCAGCAGTATTCAGAGAGAACTGCCTTTGGATTGGGGTCTTGTGAGGTGTTTATCTTTATCCGATACCCGATAAAAGTGCAATTCTTCAGTATTTTTGTAACAGACTAACCGGCGGGAAGAGGACGTTAATTACAGCAAACATATCATTTTAAATTAGCTATAGATATACATATGTACGTATGACATACAGATAAACCAGATATAACTACGGTAGCTATTACAATTACAAAGAGGTGTACGAGGTATACGTATATTCGTATGCAAGTGTACAATAATTGTAATCGTATTGGTCTTTTATGTTTGGGTTGTTCGCATGTCCTTTGGGTTTAGCGTTTCAAACGAGGATATTTGTTGGGGTTTCAGAACTGCAAAAGTGAACGTATAGGTAAAATTATGGAAGGCTTAAGCTGTCAGCGTCTGTCCGCAGAGTGGGGGATATGTGTATAATGTTACAATGGGACAATGTGGCAGATTAAACGGGAAACGGCAACGAGCTTTGTATATAGTTAAACAGCAATTACAAGGATACAAATTAAAGAATCATAAGATCATTGTTAATGCCCAGGCTTTCATTGTAATTTAATTTTTTTTTATAATCTATCAAGCTTAATTATCGTAGCGAGACAACAAAATGAAGCCACGCAAATTGTATATCAGAAGTATATCAGAAGTAGCATAGGAACAACAGGTGTTTCAAAAACAAATTCGGAGAAACTTGTGCGGCAGAGAGCTCTATTATATAGTACTATAATCACATACGCGTAAACTTAATAACTATATAATCTGTAATACCCACAAATATCAAAAGTAGCGGCTATGTAAATAGGATAAACCTATACTTTATGTACTAGCAGGCAACCAAAATTTGTAACTAGTAAAGGTAACAACATTCAATTCAATGTCCTCCAGCTTAAGCATATAAACAAGCAAATGAAATGTATTAAACAAATGGATATACCAAATACATATATATATATACATATACAGATAATACACATATCCAGTTGAATCTTTTTAATGCGGAACTTTGAAAGGGAAAGTTTTTAGGCACCCTGAGACTCTGTCCTTGGGTGCAACAGCTCGCAGGGTCTTCGGCGACGCATTAGAAATTCTATTTTCGAGCTCATTAAAATAAATGAAGATCGCCAGACTGTGAGAGACCCTACCGACACCGACGACAGACCCTGCCAGACAGTGGAGTGTGTAAATATTTAGAGCCAGAACCGAGAACAGGCAACAGAAAAAAGGGAGGGCAAGGACAATGCCAACATTGTTGAAAGCAAAGCGCCACGATAATGAAAAGTCCCAACAAAAGGTGAGTTCCTGGCTGTCGTGGAGTTGCAAGTTCCAGCCCCCAAAAACCTAGACACAATGCCCAGCCAGAATGCAGTTAACTTTATTAAATTGCGCAACGAAAACGGTCGCATCGTGTTGTGTGTGGCGGCGCCTCTTGTTGATGCACCCCTTTTTGTTGTTCATGTCCTTGCCACTGGCTATTGCGGCGCTTTTTTGGACCACAAAAGAAAGGTATGATGACTTTCAAATCAGCCTTGGACAGTTGCTTGTAAATTATAATAAATAAAGTGATATTAAGGAGGTCCTTAAATATGATATTTTACGAACATTAAAGATCGTCGCACTCTCGAATCTCTGAGAGTAGGTCTTTCGCCGATCTGCCACTATTGGGCCGAGAAATAGCGACCCGATCTTTTGGCTGGGCTATACAACAGCCGATCTGAGCTTGACATGTTTTTTCGTGATCGGAAGAGTCCTGCCAAACGATTGACACCCGAAACTGTGAAATCAGCGTAATTTGGATTATTTTTCTCCTGGGAAATAGACCCTTCTCCGATCTGCACCTATTTAGGCGGGATATATAGCCCAGATCTTTTGGCCAATACATCGGATATACAGCGAATGATCTGGGCGTGGAATATATTTGAATGATCGGGATACTCCTATCAATCAGAATGAATTTCCTTTTCTTGCCTTCCTATCGGTTTTTATTAGATACATTTACTTACACTCTTGTATCTTGTGCATATTATATATATGTAGTTCCATATCAAGTTTCCTTTTTTTTTTTTTAAATTGTAGTTTCTACGGCAACATTGATGTTTGGAAATACTCGAAATACAGCTAAACTGTTTATTTCAAGATTAATGGTAAAGAGTTATTTAAAACTCCTTAAATATTGTATGATTTAGGTAAAGAACCATAGATCAATCGACATAGCCAACCGAATTTTTGTTGTGTGCAGACTGGCTCCCGACTCCTGAGATGCATGCATGATGCGCGCAGTAGTCCTTCGGAGGCATTGGTATAGCTATATTTTTTAATTTAAAATTGCTTTTGGACTTGGTATGAAAAAGCTTCCAGATATATTTATGTTCTTTTCGAAAGGAAAGGTAGTGTATTGAGTGCTCAAGTGGCCAAATATTCCATTCCTTTTTGCTACTGTGCCGCTATGCCGCGTTTAACCTGAGGATTTGACTCGACATTGTCTGCGTCTGCGGCCGTTTGCCATTTTGTTTCGAGGTCGTGCTAAGCGCCTGCAGTCGAGTGGCCAGCAGTTGAGTAGACGCCGGGATTTAAAATGCATAAGCCTGGGCCCTGCACCTAGCAGTTGCAGGAACAACAGCCTTTTCAATTTTGCCATAGTTCAGGTGCACCTCGACACCGGATGCAGATGTGGTTGAAGCGAGCCCAAGCCCAAGCCCAGGCCCTGGGCTTGGGGAGCTTAAAGTGCGCGACTGCTAATTAGAATGCCTCACCCAGAGCGGGCTCGAAGGTAACATTTAGCCGGCATTGGGTCAGCGCTGACAATTACTCCGACTGGCTGCTGCTGCCCCCGGGACTGCTCTACAGTCCGACTTTTGCCGGGTGCGAGCTTGCAAATTACAACAGCTTAGCGAATGAAGTAATTGAAACGCCACCGAAAACTGAGGCGCCCAGTCCCCCTCACCCATTCTCTGTCCTTTTTCTGCGTCAAGCCCTGACGAATTTCCGCGTATACGATGCGTGATGCGTGCAGGAATCCTTCGGGGGCAGATCCAGGGCCCCAACGGGCTTCCTGGGCAGCCGCACCTCTCCGGCCAGCTATAAAAGACGAAGCCTTTGCGTGCGCTCTCCTGACTTAGTCAACGCAACTGCAGCAGGTCGGACCGGATTCAGTTTCGACCATGTCTACCGACAGCACCCAGCCACATACACCTAGCCACGACCTGACGAGGGTCCAGCTGTCCGGCGCGAACCAGTGGAAGCGGGCTGCTCTGATGGCCAGGGCGGCGCCAGCTTTTCGGGAGACCGTCTCGGATGACAGCGAGGACGAGGTGGACACCAAGAAGCAGATTAAGTACGGAAGCGGCTTTCAGGCGGCCAAGGCCATCATCCATGAATACTGCGACTACACGACCATCCACGGCATTCGGTATCTGGGCGAGAAAAAGCGCCCCTGGCTGGAGCGCCTGTTTTGGGTCAGCGTTCTGCTGCTATCCATCTTCACCTGCTGCAAGCTGACCCTCAATATTTGGGACAAGTGGAACAACAATCCGGTGATCGTCAGCTTCGCCGAGAAATCCACGCCCGTCTGGCAGATCCCCTTCCCGGCCGTCACCGTTTGTCCCGAGACGAAGACGCGACGTTCCATATTCAATTTCACCGACTGCTACCACCAGGTTCGAGACTTTGCCCTCAACGTCAGTGGAATAGTGGATCTCACCGATAAGCAGTAAGTTGCTCCAGCTCCCGCTCCTGCTCCCAACCATTCCTGATGGTACTCTTTGTCCATAGAAAAGAGTTGTATACCGCCGTGACCCAGGTGTGCGAACCCCATCTGCACGACATTGCCCTCGGCAAGAACACCAAAAAGGGCATGGAGATCATCGATTCACTTACCGAGGTGTCGCCTCTCTTCGACGACACCTACCTGAACTGCAAGTGGCGCAATATGCCCGTCAAGTGCAGCGACATTTTCCACAAGTTCGTCACCGAAGATGGAGTCTGCTACAGCTTCAACTCGCTCAGTCCCGCCGAGATCTATCGCCCCGAGGGGTAAGTTGTGGGTAGTTTCCGACGATGCGAGATCCACTTACACTAGAGAATCTTCCAGCATCATTCCCGATTTTATATTCCGCGAGGAGAATCGTCTGTCCATGGACTGGAATGTGGAGGATGGCTACAGCGCTAGCGCTGATACATCCCCGTATCCCAATCGCGTGCTGGGGCCTGGATCCAGGGCTGGTCTCTACCTGTTTATGGGTGGCATGGAGATGGACTTTGATGATATGTGCCGTGGTCCTGTTCAGGGTTTCAAGGTGGAGCATCTCTCGTTCTCGGAACACACCAAAAACAGAACTTATGTTTCCCTTTCAGATTCTTTTACACACCCCCGGAGATGTGGCCCAAGTATCGAAGCAGTATTTCCGCATACCCTTCGACCAGGAGGTGCTCATCTCTATCCGGCCCAAGATCATCACCACCTCGGACGGACTGAAGCACTACGAGCCGGGCCGCCGGCAGTGCTACTTCCAAAAAGAGCGCGATCTGCGCTTCTTCAATATCTACTCCCAGAGCAACTGCGAACTGGAGTGTCTGGCCAATTTCACCCTGACCAAGTGCGGATGCGTCAAGTTCTCGATGCCGCGTAAGTTGCCCAATTGAAATCTTTGAAATCTCCCTCATGGATTCCCCGTACAGGCAATGTGAATATGCCCGTCTGTGGCGCGGCCAATGTCAAGTGCTACCACAAGGCGGAGGACGAGCTGCTGCTCAGGGAGTTTACCCAGGGGTTGGTGTCGTCAGGGGAGAATACCCGCGGTGAGACCGAGTGCAACTGCTTGCCGTCATGCACGTCAATAGCCTACGAGGCGGAGATCTCCCAGGCGGACTTCGACTACAAGACGGTGATCAATAGGGACACGCCCGAGGGCAAGGAGACACAGACCAAGCTAGAAGGGTGAGCAACCAAATAACAAGATCATAACAAGATCCATTCTCACAGCTCCTTCCCCGCTGTTCAGGATGAAGATGTCGCGTGTCTCTCTCTTTTTCAAGGAGGCCCAGTTCCTGACCTCGCGCCGCTCCGAGCTTTACGGCACCACCGACTTTCTGGCCAACTGCGGCGGTCTCCTGGGCCTCTTCATGGGCGTCTCCATGCTAAGCATCGTGGAGCTGGTCTATTTCTGCACCGTACGTCTCATTTCTAATCTGCGAATGCGCCGCAAGACCCGTAAAGAGCTCCTGCAAGCGGTCAACAAGGAGGCCTAATGGAAAGGCCTCCTTATAAATAACCAAGTGGCACTTGGCCACAGAGCTGCCCCTGGTAGTCTGTATTTTTTTTGTTTTTTTTGCTCCGTATGTGTGCTGCGCTAAATGTTTAATCTGCAAACAATGAAAATAAAGTTGTACTCAGCACCAGACAGCCAAAGGAGTCGTATCCTTGCCAGCATTGGCATTGGCATCTACCAGATGATACACGATACGACCCGCACATCCTGCCAAGTCTTCAGTTGTCCCTCCGGGTGTGTGTGCATTTGAAATGGAATCAATTATTTTATTGTGTGATTTGCTGCCGCATTCGATTCGATTTCCAAAGTCAATAGACAACGTCATCGAAGTCGAAGCCAAAGTCGGATGACTCTTCTCCTTAGGCTCATATGCTATGCGGGGCCAATCCTTTGATTCGATATCCTTAGATGGTGGGGCTACCTTAGCTGAGCAAACACTGCGGCAGCCATTCAACCTCCACTCATCCTCAGCCTCCATCTCCATCTCCAACTCCGACTCCGACTACGACTGCGACTACGAGTGTTCAAGTTGTGCGTGCGGCTCTAATGGAAATCCAATTGAATTAAGTTAATTATGTTGGCAAATATTTAAACAATAGCTGCAATTATGCACTCCCACCCAGGCAAACTTAGCCACTCCCAACCGCAGTCACAGCCACCGCCACACCCACAGCCGCAGCCGCAGCCACAGCCACACGGTGAGTCCCTGGAAAGTAGGCTTTAAAATTGCAACGTCGATGCAGTATACTGATATACGAGTATGCATTCGTTGTCATTTACTTTAATTCAATTGCCAGACAGGCAGCGGAACTTATGAACCCGTGCAAATGGCGGCACGCAACAGTGAACCCCAAAGAGTTGTGCAACAGTTGTGCGCGACTGTAGTACGGTACGGTACGTGACCTGCGACGAAGCTCCTGATATATGTACATATGCATGGATCGCATGGACGGCGTCGACACAGGGTCCTGGGCGCAGTACATTATGGCAACAAGTGTCGAAATGTGTCGAAATATTGCAAATAAAGTTGACACATTTGCATACCTCATAAAATTTCCATGCACATGTGCAAAAGTTTCATAACGCCCGGCACAGAGTGCAACAATTCCAGATCTCCAATGGGCGTGGCACTGGGCATTATTTTCCATAGCCATCTGCCTCAGGCACTTTCCACTTCGGTGGCGCATTCGTGCCTGCCAATTTGATTCACATATAAAAATGAATTTATGACAATTTCCGACTGATGGCTGCCAAGGCTGTCTCGAGAGCTTTATTGATTACAGCCAGCACACGAGAGGTGCTTCAATATATCTGGAAGATAGTTCGAAGCTGGTCCAAGGAGTAGCAGAGTACAGAGTGGTCAGAATAATCTTCATATTTGGCAGGAACGGAGCTATAAACAAGCCCTAATCCATACAAATTGAAGGACAATATTGTACACATGTATGTACAAGTATCTTGAAATGATAGACGATGTTTAAACAATTGAGGGTTCAGATCTCCTCAGAGATATTGCCTGCTTTCCCTTGCGATTCATATCCAATCATTTTCATTCTCTTCTGTCAACTCTCTTAGCGAATTATGTATTCCCCTGTTCAAGTATGTGTGAGTGAATGGCTGTGTCTGTCTATCTATCCCTTTTGCTTATCAGTGTGTTTTTGTTTTTTGTATTCAATTATTTTATTTACGCTACTTTTGCAAACTTATATTTATAAATTTTGCACACTGTTCTGTTGCTCGAATAATGTTGCTGCTTCTCACAACTGTTCCTTCTTACTCCGGCGACACTCGCCTTTGCCTCTCTGCTGTCTGCAGCTCCCGCATTATTGTAGCGGCAAAGTTGGTGGTGGCATCCCATGCCTTGGGATCCACTACCATGTGTGTGTGCATTACATCATTCGGTTCGCTCAGACGCTGATAATGTGACATCGGCTATTAAGCAGTACGGGTAAAAGCCACTCAAAGTCAGGGCTGGCAATACCAGTAATCAATTTGCAAGTAATTTCTCCTTTCTCCTCCGTTCCGCTCCGGCTGAAGCTCTCCACCGCTTTGTGTCCTGTTGGCAGACATGAATAAGTCGGGGGATAACATGACACTTGACATTGAGGCGGCGGATACCACTTTGCCCCCCCCTGCACAACAATATCAATAAAAAGTTTCTTCCGCTTTTACGGAAAATATCTCGAAAAAAAAATACAAATTGTAATTAAACTTTTGCACAATGCAACTCAAACTGTCCGCAGTGTCTGGCAGAAGCAACAGAGGCAAAAGAGGCAACAGAGGCAACGAATGCAACATTAACAATCAACTGCATAGCAACAACAAATAACAAAGTGGAAGCAGAGTCGCGGCCAATCGTTTGATTTGCTTGGCAAGGCTTTAAATTTCCGGTTTCCTGTTTCCGGTTGAGGAAACACCGTGCTGCGAATATCGCTATTCTATAAGCCAAGTATTTCTAATATTTTCGCCATTTTCTTTGAAATAAGTGATGCACTGTGCCCCATCTAGTGGCCAGATGGCAGCCATGTTTATTTGCTTGTGTGTCGGTTACGCCGAGCAGCCTTTTGCGGCATTCAAATGCAGAGCGACAACAGCACGCGGCCTCATGTGTCATGTCTCGGCTCACCTGGATGCCGTCAAACTGATTGCCTAAGCGGAAATGACTTGAATGCTTTCGCTATCGCCACGTCACACGCCAGCACCGCGTCACACGGGGCGTATGTGGAATTTCGCACTCGATTGCCTGCCGCGAGAGCTTTTGCTTTTGAGGCAAAGTTTTGTGTAACGCGATTAGCGGTTTGCGTTCTACCTGGTTTTGTTTGCTGTTGTGTCTAACTTGAAAGCCACCTGCCAGAATAGAGCATCCACAACACCCGAGCCCCAGCCCCTGCTCGAGCGCTGGCATCGATTGCAGTAATTGCAGTTCCTCTGACGCTGGGCCCCGACTGAAAGTTTGAGCCTGCATAGACTTGGAGTTGGAAAAGTCATTAAAAACTTGAACCCAACTTTGGATTCGAATTAGAATTTCTGATTAAATTGTTTGGCACAGACCTCTAACACACACACACACACACACACACACACACACACACACACTCTTTTCAAAGGGAGTTGAGATTGCCAGCGACAAGACAATTAATGAAAAATGCATAAGCCAAATGGCGAATCAATGTATATCGTGACATCAATGGCGGATTAACACCCTCAACCTCATATCCACACTGCCACCATTCGCCTCATTGTCACGCAGGGATTCCTTTACTGCTGTGGTCGTGGTCGGAGCACAATTTGTATGCAAACCTCGCACTAAATTAGATTCTTTTTTACTGCAGTCACATCGCCTGTTGATGATGAGGCGATGACAGTATTCTCCTGCGGTCTCCGTACTCCTGGTGCTGCTGCTGCTTCTGCCTCTGCTGCTGGCGATAAAATGCGTAAGCTCGTTAAAATTGCACGCGACGCGCCTCTTATAATAATGCTGCCAGTCGATGCTTCTCGATGGATGCTCGATGGATGGATGGATGGATGGGGGGATATCTGAGGGATACTGATGGTGGGTCGTATTGATTTGACTTTGCCATTTCCAAGCACAGCATCTTGCGTAATGCATGAGGTAATGCCTGACTTTCATTGTGCTTCCCGTGCGATCCCACATAAAAGCTTTGATGTTTGATGATGGCCATGGCCATGTCTGGGGGCTAAGTGGCTGCTAAGTTGAAGCAATAAACTCTCGACATATGGGCGCTCATTTGGGATGGGGGTTCTGTTTATTGGTAGTTATCTTCTTTCATTTACATGATGCTGAAATCCATGGTTAAGGCGTCTTTTTATCATTGCACTCCTGTTGAACATTTTCACCCGTTTCGTCACTAACAATGGAACTTGAAATCCCAAGTTTTTAATTCATATTCAGTTTTGTAATTGCTTTTTCATGAGACCATACCAGAGACCTTTTCAGTCGTACAATACATACACAAAAATATAAATTAAATTCACTTGCACAAGCTCTTGAGCTTATTATGCATTACCTAATGAAAACTGGGGCAGGACCAGGATCCCGGATCCCGGATCCCGGATCGGGTCTAGAGCTGGTGCCAGGAACTGCCAGCCGCGTAAGCAAATAATAAATAAATAAATAAACGAAAAGCGCAAATAACATTCGAGAGCCAGATTTAATTTCTAACGTTGAGTGCGCATATTAAAACAGACCGAAGCTGGTGCTGGTGCTGGAGCTGGAGCTGGAATTGTGGCAGGGACTATCCTGTGGATTGTTGATTGTGGCAAGGGAATTGGGGGCAGACAAAAGGCAGTGCCACAGGGGTGATAGTAGGAAGGAAAACCTGCGAGCTGCGAGCAACAAACAAAGATGATGCGGATATCGCAAAGCCCGGCCTGGTGTCGTGTCTGTGGAAATGCAGCGGAAATGCGGGATGCCGAACGGCACACTCAGAGAAATTGAGAACAATTTCGCAATCCAGTGAAATATCCAAAATATGAACAATAATTGTTCGAAAATACATTTTCTACGGTAAAGCTTTCTTATTTTATAAAAAATTATTCAATGGATTATAAAAATATATCCTATTTATTGCGGTGCAGGAAGCTGCTGGCTTTGTGGCAGGGGGATATGAAAATAAACAATCAAAGCGGGTGGGTTGAATTGTAAGGGGGTGGTGCCACGTGAGGGGTGCGGCTGAAGGCGTAATAGAAGTTGGCGTGAGTAAACAATGAATTACGGAATCATGAAAGCAAATTGACTTTAATGCAAAAATCAAATATTTACACAGCGCGAGAAAAACTCAGTGCCGAGAGTTCGCGAGAGGAAGGGGACCAATGCAATTGCAATCTCCAGCAAAACGAGAGAGCAATAGACAGAGATAGAGACACAAAGACAAACAAACAAATGAAAGAACGAACGAAACGCATACAAATTGAGGTTATGTCAGACGTTCAGTTTCCGCTTCCTCGCTTTCTCCGAAAAATGGTTTCGGCACTTAAATCCCTCACACACACACACAAACACACACTAACACACACATGCTGACTTAGCTGTGATAGTGATAGTGGGGGAGGGACAGGGACAGTGGCCATCAGTGGGTTAAGAGTGGGGTCAGCTTTTGTGCGGCATTGGTCTGTGGCGCATCCGGTTTTCGAGTGTACGTTATTAGCTCTCTCTCTCTGACTGCGGTCCGGTCCGAGTGGAGGGGGAAATTTTACGATTTCATTCATTTTTGTGGCTGCCATTTGACGCCGCAAAATATGTAACAAAATTTTATTTCCCCGAAATAAGAGCCCAGCCCGACCCGAGCACGGCCACCACCCCGACCAGAACTTGGCTCGAATAAAAATAAAATTATTGAAACTATTATGCAATGCTTTGGAAGTAAGACTGCAAACACTTTAAAACAATTTTGCCCCTCGCAATTCGCCCAAGAATTTCTCAATTAGGGAACAAGACCCAAAGAACAAAGCTCAAATGTAATAAAGCACGGGGCGGACACCGTCCAGAAAAAAAAACTGCTAAAAAGTGGAACAGAGTGGAGCAGAATTGGAGAGCGATACAAGGGGACACAAATCTGAAAACCATAAAAGTGTCGCTTTCAATTGTTCCCCCAACCATCGGCTGCGGGCGACAATCGAAGCCAACAAGTGAAATTGAAACGTTCAATGGATAGTGTGCCGAGTGCTGGGTTGGTGGAAAGTTTAGGTAGATAGAGCACTGGGTAGAGGCGAAGTGTTGGGTTGGGCTAACGGGGGGCTTTCGAGGGTGCTCCAGACACACAACACACAAATTGATGATGATGTAGTGGGTGAGAGTGTGTGTGAAACTCTGTGGCAGGATTTTTATCGAGATTTTGTATGCTTTCGATTGGGATACGTCGCCTTTGTGAATAGGTTTGTTAATCCGACTGATAGTTACATTCTGATAACCAGGGAAAGTCTACAATTGGGCGATTAAAAAGCTGTGACTGCAGCTACCATTAATTTCTACCTTTCAGAGCACCAAAAAGGGATAATCGGGGAGCATTCGAATACTTAATTCGCCTATTCTAGTAGGGTATTTCGATTGCAGTGTCACCGCTGGTCACCGCTTCTTCATGGACTGCGTTTCTGTCAACGTTACTTTATTACTTTCTGGCTGAGAATGATGCCAGCGATGATTGACACCCCGGCTGGCAATAAATTTTTAATTTTCAATGCTTCCCTGATAGACTGACGGCCTGATGGACTGACTGTCTGACTTCCTTTTCTGCCGTTTCCCTGCGAGCTTGTTAAATTCAAATTAGAACGATGCTGGCTCCATCTCTCCGAAGGAGGAGTTGCCGCTGACAGGGAAGATAAATGACAGAGGACTGCGATCGCAACAAATTAACCTTGTTAGGGGGCGGCTGCAGCACTACGAGCACTACGAGTAGTACCAGTAGAAAACCCTGTGGAGTCGAGACATAGCTGGTGAAGAGGTGGTTGGTGGGGTGGTGGTTGTATGGGGCTGGAGGACAACAGTTACAAGTGTATGTAATTTTTTATCGTCTCCACTTCCGGCTCCGACTGACTTCTGACTGCGCTCCCACTGACGGACTGACTTATGAATGGCGTGTGGCAGGAAGTTGAGGCATAGTGGAAGAAAGAAAGACAAAGGGGGATGGTGATGGTGATGGTGATGGTGGCACTGCCACAGCGAGTCGATAAATCAGTTTGTGTATCAAATTGAATTCACGAGCGTGCACTTGACACCCGCACACGCACATTTATCAGCCAGTCAGGCAGCCAGCCAGCCAGCCAGCCATTCTTTCTGGGGTATCCTCAGGATGCTTCCTTCCAAGTCGTGGCAGAACTTACAATTCGCTGAAAAGAACTTTAACTCGAGGCTCGAGTGCAAAACCACAAAATTTTAATCTCAACTAAAAGCTGCAAACAAAAACACACAACAAGTAAAACAGCGAGGGGCGCATTATAAATTATTCATTACAAAACGCAACCGCGACACGCCCACACCCACGCCCACGCCTAGAACCCAGACCCACTACCCATTCTTTTTTATTCTGGTTTCCACAGCATTCACTCCCACCCAGAGGCCGCCTGCCGCTGACGGTTGCTCGTTTGCACCTAATTTGATTTTTAGTTGCTGCCCTCTGCCACAGTCTCTGCCTCGGATGCGGGTGCTGCTGCACTGGTGGCGACTCCAGCGCCGGAGCACGGACTGGCTGTGGTTGCCTCTTGGCATTCTCTTTGTACCCAGTATTCGGAGGGGACAAGGGTGTATTCCATTCCCATTAGATGGCTATCAGCTTACTTTGAGCAGAGGGTATCCTTTAGTCGGTAGAAATCACGGCAAATCACACACACACACATGAGGACAGGGGGCACACGCCTTGGCAGCTTGGCAACGCTTTATTTGCTCCTTTCCATTGCACGATTCAGCTTTCTTTTCATTCATTCCAGCGGCTGCCTGTCGAAAAAATGTCTGTTATGTGGCTACAGAATTTCGCAGTAATTAATGGCAACTGTTTGATTAAAAAATTCCATAGCAGCTCGCCATGTATTTCCCTATGCATGTCTCTGTTTTTGTGTAGTTTTAGTTCGACCCCATCCCCATACCCATCCCCATCCCATTACCCATCCCCATGCCCAATCCGGAATCCCATCCTTGGTCAACGTGGCTGAAGATGAATGCCGGCACGATGAAACGCTGCCAAGTTAAATCTATGCAAATTCCAGAGATCTCTTTAAGTGTTTGGCAGAGCTTCAGCGGATGAGTGCAGCGGGTAATCATCTCATCCCTGAAATGGGGATACCTGCAAAAAAGAGTTGTCAGCTGCGCACTTTCACCGAGTTGTGCAGCCCAGGGTCAAGTGAATGATCAGTATCTGAGAGGCTGATATGTCATTTCCTATTTAATTGCTGATTTGAATTGAAATGGCAGCAGCAATACAAATCAGAGAGAAAATTCAAAGTTTCGGGCTATCAAAAAGACCGCTAAGTGAGCCGGCCTCAGATATATCGAAAGAGGAAGTCGCGACAGCCAAGAGGAAGATACGCAAAACTTGGAAGTTATCAATTTGTCAATGGTTCATGTACGGTCTCATAAGCGCCTGTTTGGTGAGTTATTCCAGCCGTTGTGGTAGTGGTAGAATTCCATGCTAGCAGCACCTTTATGGGGTATCGTACAGGCCTTGAACATAGCGGACATGCTGAGCTATATGAAGACGATTTCTCAGATCAGTGGGTGCGGTCGGTGCATATTCCTGAAATACCAGCTCATACTGATGGCAGTGGGGGTTCTGGTCATATTTCTGCTATGCGCGATCGCCGTCGTGGTGCTTAAGCAGAGTGCCAATGGGCTGCGAATTGTGAGTCGAATCCCATCCAATCAGTACGCAATGAATCGTCTTCGAGTATTGTTTGCAGGTCGTAATGTTGATGTTCCTGGCAACATGGCTGCAGATGATGATGATCATCCTGCTGACTCATGAGTACCCGCTTATCCACGACATCGAAGTCATCTGGAAACGACACATGAGTCTGGAGTACTACGAGAACAAGGTGATACTAGGTTCCTCATCCTCATCCCCATATCGCTGCTTCCCTGATGATATTCGATGATATTTTTACGCAGTACGAGTGCTGCGGCATGATGGGACCCGATGACTACACCTACAACAAGGACTTGGTGCCCAGCAGCTGCTTTAAGCACCGCAGTATGATGTCCCAGGACTTGTACAAGTCTGGCTGTGCGACTAAGAAGACTACGCCCTCTGACTTGGCCATCACCGAGCTGGTATCAATCGCCTGTCAGGTGAGACAAAAATCATACGCCATACGTTTTGGGCCATCAAAGTATTCAAAGCCTCGTTTTCAGTACGTCCTGATTGTGGCCATCCTCCTCCACAGGAAGTACCTGGAGCGCAACCTGGTTGAAGCCCGCTCCCTGCGAGCACTGACAACTGCGCTTCTCCACCTACCGCCGTAATAACAAATTGCATTTGCATTCGGTTTTGGGATTCGGTCTGAAATTGGGACTGGCATGCGGGACAAATTGGATTGGACTCTGCCTGGATTTCTCATATTTCACCAGATGCAATCAATAACGATAAACACTCGAGTCTCCTCTTGAGTCTGCCGAAAGGGATTCAATGTCCCGAGTCCAGTGTCCGGCATGCATATGGATGAGCCAATAAAGAAATCAACAAAGCATGTCGGGGCGATTGAAAAAGTATTGCAAATGCCAAGGGATAGCCAGGGATTTGGACACGGACACGGACACGGACACGGAGATCTCGACTCGAATCGCAACAATATGCAAATGCAGCTAAGCGGCAAATATTCAAGGACAATCCAAATCCACCCACACCAGCCCACATCTCCCCCATCACGAGTTTATTCCTCTTTTATGTCCGTACATAAATTTTATTGTTGTCAACATTAAATTCTGGTCGTGGAAAACAATTTTGCAGCATTTGAAAATCCATAAAATATGCATACAAAATTGTCCAGCGGAACGACCAACTTTATGGCTAAATAGTTTGCTCCGGCCCCCATCGTTAATGCCTTTTTTATACGTATGGGTGTTCTGGCGGAAACTTTTTAGCCACCGCCACCGCCACCGCCATCCCCATAACCCTAACAACACTCTGGTCAAGCTGCTGAAGGAGCAACCCATCCAAAGTTTATGGCGGCAAAGGCAGGGCCTGAACCGAACTGAACACCAAAGGGTCATGTGGCTCATTAAACTTTGGCCAACAATTTTTTGCGGCACCCTGCCCACAAAGACAAACAGAAAGTTTTGCACTAAATATTTGGGGGAAAAAAATAGTCCAACGGGGCTGCGAGTACTATGTGGAGATCCATAGACAGACACAGACAGAGACGCCACAGTTTTCAGGGGATTGCAGTGTGGGATGAAATGGAATGGGCAGAGAATTACTTGGCACACATACGCCCCATTTAACGCTAGACAAATGGCAGAACCTAGGGAAATACACATTGAAATGGAAAGTGTGAAAGTGCTATGCCACAAAACAGTTAAGATTTGAAGGTACATCGAGTTTTAAGTTTGGGTTACTTATGAGATCTCGAACGGAGTCTAGAAACTGTGTTTCACTGAGCTTTGGGAGGCTTCTAGTGGATGGCTCTATTATCATTCTGAAAGGAAACTCTGCCACCCGCCAGCACCAAAAAGGTTTATCCTGAAAATGAGACCCACCCTTTGAGAACTCACCCACCACTCACCTTACTGGCTATCATTGATTCTCTGGAACATTTTAATTAGCGCAACATGTGCACGGACCTTTGTGGGTCCCATCACCCCGTTCCTCATCTGTGTTCCCGTACCCTGGGCGTTCCCATTCCCCTAATTAGCTTAAAAGCGAGTGCGTGTTTTATGCGACTACTGGAAGCTTTTTATTGCGTACGAACAAATCAACAAAGTGTCAACGGGCGGTCAGCAGGACTCTCCTCAGGAGTACCCATTCCTTTCCGCTTAGTATCCCCAGTGGGAGCCGAAGCCATCGAAACTGGCGTGGGAGACCACAGCGGCGGGCGAGTACTTGACGAAGGCAGTGGGCGCTGCGGCGGCGTAGGTCTTGGCGTAGACGGGGGCAGGGGCGGCATAGACCGGAGCTGGAGCAGCATAGACAGCTTTGGTCACGACGGGAGCTGGAGCGTACACTGGGGCAGGAGCGGAGTACACGGTCTTGGCCAGAACTGGGGCGGGAGCAGAGTACACTGTCTTGGCGTAGACTGGAGCAGGAGCAGCAGCATAGATGGACTTGGTGATTACTGGAGCGGGAGCAGAGTACAGGGTCTTGGGGGTGTAGACATTGTTGGTGATGCGGGAGTCCACTTTGCTCACGCTCGAGTAGGGGGTGACCACGTTCTTAGAGTAGGTGGAGACGGTGCCGCCGAAGGAGCGGACCACGTTCTGCTGGGTGGTGCCCACGGCATCGTAGTGGGGCTGGGCCAGCTTGGCCACCACAGGAACTGCGGCATAGGTGGTGGCTGGAGCCACGAACCCGGCGCTGGTCGCACCCATCAGAGCGCAGAAGGACAACAGGACGTACTTGAATGCCATGGCTGGAGGAGTTGGTTTGAGCTTCGAATGGGAACTGGAACTGACGATGGAATAGAGCTGTAGTTGCTACTGATGCCTAACTGCTTCGATTTCGCAGTTTTTATAGCCAAAACTGACAAAAACCGACAAAACCTCGAACCTATTGCCAAATTTCACGGCCATCGAGTCGAATGTGGCTCTGAGGGTCTCTGTATGTGTGTGACAGATTGACTTAGGCCTAAGCCGCTTCGACGTGTACTCGTAGAGACCCAGAGACAGAGCCAGGCCCAAAACTGGTTCAATGGGTCGACAAATGACTGCGCGAAAACCATGTCTCTCTCTCTCTCTCTTCACCTTTGTGCCCTGCCCATCTCTTCGTAAGTGAACTGGAGGCCAGCTGAGAAGCTCCTGCCTCACACTTCGGCGGGAAAGTGAATTATTTTGAATACTATCATCAGCTCATAAATTTTCCAGAGCAGCCAAAAGAAACGACAGCGAAAAACTTTTATTTGCTCGGCGTATTTTTCCATTAAATTGAGTTCAACTCAAGCAGCAAATATGCCCCCTCTGTACCTTGTCTATCGAGGGGGATGTTCCCCCTCGGATGTTGTGTCAACTTTTGTATCAGCGGGGGGTTGGTGCCACAATTGGGGCGTTGGTGGCAGCGACTTGTTTATGATTTTTGTTTGTTTTTATTCCAAGAGAGTTTGAGAAGTTGTTGTGCCCTTCAAGAGGGACATAAGAGACTGGGGGGAGGAATGCAGATGTGATGCTTTGGGGAAAGGGAAGGAAAAGATCGAATATCATCATGGGATATACAGAGAATCTGTGGCAAGGAATAAAACCAAACTTGGATCTCTTAAAGAACTGCACGTAAATATACTACACAAACCTTAATTCCCGATAAATCAGAATCTTCCGCAAATGATCCAAAAAACAACCCAATCTTTCCTACTTCATTAGATAAGTCTTACGTCTTATGGATAGGGCATCCAGCATTTCGGTTCTAAGGACTGCTTCTCTGTCTTGTGGGTCCACCTCCCCGGGAGTTCTTTTTGTTTTTCGCAAGTTTGGGAAATGAATTTCCCAGCTCCGCTGCTCACGGAGCGCATGATGAATATTTATTGAAATTACCAAAGTTGACGCTGCTCCAAATTGAATTGTGTTGCCAACTTGGGATGCGACTCTTTGGGGCAGCAACAGCTACACCTACCGCTCCGGCAACAGCTACAAATTTTGTGATTATTTTGGCCTGGCTCTTCCGTTTGCGCTCTTTTGGCAAATTGTTATTAATTTTACACTGGGGGCCCTGAACGCATCGCCCCTAAGCCTAATTACCGCGTTTAATTTATGTGAGCAAATTGGCTTTCGAGAAATTGCGCCAATCACTCAACGGACAGGTGAACAGGCATCGCTTTGTGGGCAGTTCAATTACCAATTTCCAATTACCAATAGCCAAAAAGCGCACCGCGGACCAGTGGATTGGCACGCGTCCGACGCGTATATAAGCCGCAACATTTCGGCCAGATCAGCATCAGTCGCAGCCCAGCCAGCCTGCCATCCGCTTCTTCAGACTCGTCTCTCACCGATCCGCCAGTCGCTATCCACAACATGGCCTTCCGCTACCTCATCACCCTCTGCGCCCTGGTGGCCTACGCCCAAGCCGGCCTCCTGGCCAGCCACGTGGCCGTAGCCAACCCGTCTGTGGACGCAGTAGCCTCCACCCAGCAGAACGTGGTCCGCTCCTTCGCCGGCACTGTCTCCAGTTACTCGAAGGCCGTCGATACGCCCTACTCCAGCGTCCGCAAGAGCGACACTCGCATCCAGAACAATGTCTACACCCCGGCCGTGGCCAAGACCACCTATGCTGCTCCGCTGTACACCCAGGCCACGCCTGTAGTGGCCAAGACCCTTGTTCACGCTCCGGTTGTACAGAAGACTGTGTATGCTGCTCCTGCCCCAGTTCTGGCCAAGGCTGTGTATTCTGCTCCTGCTCCAGTCTATGCCCCGGCTCCAGTCTATGCCAAGACAGTGTACTCTGCTCCAGCCCCAGTTCTGGCCAAGACCGTGTACTCTGCGCCCGCTCCAGTTCTGGCCAAGACCGTGTACTCCGCTCCTGCTCCTGTGTACGCCCCAGCTCCCGTCGTGACTAAGGCTGTCTATGCTGCTCCCGCTCCCGTTCTGGCCAAGACTGTGTCCTATGCCGCTCCCCTGGCCACAACTAATGTGAACCACGGACCCTCTGCCACCACCTACACCCACAATGCCCCCGCTTTGGGAGTGTCCAGCTACGGCAGCGCCCAGACCGTCCAGTACTCGCCCGCCACCAGCGTCTCGCACATGAGCTTCGATGGATTCGGCACCCACTGGGGTTTCTAGGCCACCTCTCCGCGGAGGCAGAGATTGTTAAAGCTTCTTGTTAATGTTGCCTGTTAATAAAACAAAGATCGATTGTTGCAAGTCAAACATGAGCAGAGCAGACCTTCCGGGTGACCGCAGCCTAACCTCAGGCCTCAATCGGCGCGGGCTAAGCGGAATAGGTACGGATCGAACAATGGGCTCGACCCCAGACCAGACATTATATCAGACTTTGGCAGCTGCTTTCCGCTACGTCATCGGCCTTCGGCGGGCAGAGGCGGGGGCGTAGGCGGAGTCGGAGTCGGAGGGGCGGCTGCTTTAAGCAGCTTTGCGATAAGTCGCGGAGGCGTGGCCGTGTCGTGTATATTCGCGCTTTACATTACGGCTCTTTAATTGGATTTAATACCCCAGGACCAGAAGCCAAAGAGATCTATCAAATGGGAGAAAGGCTAGCCGAAACTGAAGATACCCTTCTCTGTAGATTAATCCAACGGCAGTTAGCTTATGATATAGCAATCTGAACTTGGGTTTACGATGTCGACGGCTGTTGATGCCCGTTGGATCAATAATGCTTCTTTCTCTTATTATATATTCATTATACCCTCTGCAAGGGCTATCGTTATCTCTAGTTAATGTAATCCATATAAACTGAAATCGGTTGGGGCCATTGGCAGCCGGACACGAACCCGAAAACACGCGGACAGTCACGCGTTTACTTTTGCACTTGTTATTATTATCATCGTCGGTTAATTAACGGATATTTATGCTCTCATAACGGGTCCGCAACGCCACCGCACATTAATCGTTTACATGCTGCCACAGTTTCAGTTCCAGTCCCAGTCGCAGTCCACAAAAACCAGTTTAATCTTGACATTTGCCAAGAGCAAAGTGCCCATAGTGCCCATAATGTATCCATAGGTACTCAAACATGTACTTAATGGACTCAATGGGATCTATTGACAGGTCGCTGCAAGGAGAGAAAGAGAGAAAGATCTTGGCCCGACAGATCTAATGCTTGTTATGACAGTGATATTTGAGCGGGAATGAGGCGAACCACTCGGGTTGCATAAGCCATTCGATGGGAGTGGGAGCCAGATTCAAGTGTGGGATACCCTAACCAATCGGATCATTAAAATTCTCTCTTTTAAAGCGTTAATCTATAAAGGAATAACCAAATTTTGATAAAATGGGCGCCATTGCTTGAGTGAACTTTTTTCTACGCGTATTTTGCAGGTAACGGAGTAACAATTGTCTTCTGTAGTGCTTATCTGACCTTGGATTACCAGACATAGTCACATTTAACCTACACCAATTAAAGTTAACTCAAAATCTTGATTGGAGTGGAGTGGAGGCGCCAAGGCTCTTCAAGCCATCACCCGAGTGGGAGGCGCCGGTGCGGGGCGGGGCGATTTAAATTTGATGACCTCTTTAAGGTGACACTAATGAGACATGCAATGGAGCTGATCCATCCCTGGGGCCATTGGCCATGGGCCAGACAAGAACAATCAAATTAAATTAAATGAAAACGTGGCCGAAAAGAGTAGAGTGAGGGGTGTCTCAGGCTTCTACTTTTTCCCTGACAAATTAGCTGTCGTTGCTGTTGCAGTTGCTGTTGTTGTTGTTGTTTGGTTTTGATTTGCGATTTGATTGCAAACACGCCCCATGCTTCATTCCTCATGGCCCACACGGACAGCAAGAAGAAGATGTGCCACATTGTCCTTGTCTGAGTTGACAATTAGTCAATAATTTATTTCAATTTCATTTCGCATGCCAAGCACACTCGCATCTCTATAGAAACAGACACAGATACATTCGTACGAGTATCTGTGTGACCTAACTGCACTTTAATTACATTTACATTTGGGCTTAAATTTTTGGCCAAGCTGCCGGAGAGATGACACAGAAAAGCAGGGAGGCAGTGACGGCAGGCCTACACTGAGGGAAAATCATTGCCTCGAATCCCTTTCTTAGTAGTTTTTCTGTTCAGAGTATTCTCGTCCTTGCAGATGGACAGCTTTTCCGCCAGTGTAGCCGAGTGAGGACATGCCATTGTTGCAATGCAATTTAGGTAAGCGAATTTTCATGATTTAAATAACAGCATTATGTGTGGCAGATTTTGTATTTATCTGTGTGTGGGGGCATGTGTATGGGTGTGTGGCAGGGCGAAAAACTGCAGACAGAGTCGTTTCGGTTTTGTGCTGTAGCAGACTGTAGTGCCCTGCACAGGGCTGTGTACTGGTATAATTAAATTATGGCTGGACATAAGACGCATAATAAGTCATAAATCAAATTTACCTATCCCACGGGCCTCACTGCCTGACTCACTGCCTGCCTCACTGGCAGACGCCACACTGGATGCCACATCTGAGGCGAACGAGTGCTCGGGTCAGGCGACGCCGTCACAGACATTTAGACGGAACAAGGACACGACACGCATTCCCCCCTGCATTCTTGACTGTGGGGCATGGCACAGCATTTTGATGGACATTATGACGACTCTGTCTCGGCAAACAATTAGACAATTGATGCATCTGATGGGGCTCTGGTGTCTGTCCGTTTCTATTTGTATTTGTATTTGCATTTGCATTTACATTTGCATCTAGGCGTGTATCTGTATGTCGGCGTGGACGTGGACTCCGCAGAACCAGAAAAGGGCCGTCCCTGTCCCAGTCCCTGTTCCTGGCCTGAGTTTGCAACTGTGAGTGCGTTTAATGTTGCCGCTGTCAGGGACAGCCGTAGTTGAAGCATGCCATTGCAACAGAAACATTTCGCCAGCAGGCAGCAAATGTATGTAGATTTGTTGCCTTGTTGTGGCCTGTGTCTGTTTTAGATGTTTTCCGTGGCACGGTACACGCGTCAGTTTCTATGGGTGCTAATAGCCAATACAATACATTGTTCGCAGAGGCATAACCAAATAGTAAGCTTTCTTCGGGATAAACATGTGAGTCGACTCACCATGTTTCTCCTTTAATTTTAAATGTTTCAACTTTGAACAAAGCCGATAGCCCCGGCAGCTAGTGGTCCATTAACTGAAATATAAACTTTGAATACTCCGAAATAACGCTACTTATTTTGATCCTTGAATTTCGCCTTCCTCAACGAGGCCCAGGCTCCCCTCCTCGCCAGCGCAAACAAATTGCTCCGCTTATCCACAAAGTAATGCACAAATGCCAGAGCCACTCGGGCTGAAGTAGAAAAGAAAGCAGACTCGTCTCATCCCATCCCATCCCATCTCGACAGCCATCGCGATATGTCATAGACGCAGACGCAGACGAAGACCCAGACAAAGGGCAGCCCTCCGCTGATACGCATCGCGGAGCTCCGAGGCTGATTAAAATTTAATTTTTAATTTAAAGACTGTTTGTATTTTATTTGCAGTCTTGTTGCGGGACAAAACAAATGGATTTGGTTGGTGTGTGGAGGGAGCGGGGGAGCGGGGCAGGCGAGCGGCCCTTCGAAGGTCGTCTTGGCTGTTGATTTATCATTACTTTATGCAAATTGACCGCTTACCTTTGAGCCTTATCTGCGCATCTGTGTCGACTCGATTCCAGGTTTCTTTTCTCCGACCTGTCTATCTTTTAACCCTGGTTCTCGTTTTCCCTTCCTGCCTGCTATGCTGCCTGGCTGGCTGCCTGCCTGCCACGTGCAATGTCAATGCCAAGCGATTAACATTCAATTAGCTTCTGGCTTCATCAATGATTTTATCGCAGCCATTTGGGGCCGGGCCAACAGTGCGGGGAAGGCCAGTGGCTGTGGTTGGGGGGAGTCCTGTTGCTGTGGCAGGTTTGAGTGTAAATTGTGGCAAATTATCATTAGCCTGTTGAGGGTGGATGTAAATGGTGTGGGGGGTATGTGGGCCCCAACAAGGACAACAACGACATCTTCACATCTTCAAAAGGTTTTTATGACATCAACAGCTGTCGTTGACAGATTATTGTGGCGATTATTTTAGCAAGATAGGAAAGGACACGACAGACGACAGACGACAGAGGACAGAGGAGGCATCAGCAGATGGAGCACAAACAGAACCCGAGCGGGGGGTCTGCCCCAAGCAGCCAGGAGCAGGAGGAGACGTCTCTGCTTTGTGCGTTCAACTGGAAATTGTCAACCATGTTGTTGCTGGTGGCCCCTTTGTCCTCCTGGCTGCTCGACACATGTGGCAGAACCCAGTTAGGGCCACTTAAACATCTTGTGGCTCAACACTTGTAAATAACTACGTTGGCGCTGGAAAAGTTGTCACATTTTTATAAACACTACTGAAACATGGCGAACGAGCCTTCGAGAACCTCCGTTTGGGCCCTCAAGATCTCCTGTGTGTGTCCCCTATTCTTGCTATGCTTTGATGTACTTGCATATTGGTTTACTATTCTCCGTTGGGTGGAGAAAATTGTCAATTGTGCTTGGGACTGGATGAACAATAATATTTAAAAATTTCAAAAGGGTCGAGAAGATGTGTTTCTGCACCGTGCTTGTTCTAAAGATCTCAGTGGTGCTTAGCATTCTTTTATTGGTAGTAAGTTAGCCCAGCGACATCCGTCCCTAGCTAAACCCATGGCGCATCCCATTCCACAGCTTTTCAATGTATTGGACATAATTGAGGGCGGTCAAAACCTAAACGAGGTAACAATGAAAGGCAAACTTCTGCTCGTGCTGTGCTTCGTCTTGAACTCCTTCCTTATAGCCATCCTCTGTGCGGGCCTATATGCGGCGATACGCCAGAATCTTAAGCTTATGCAAATGGTGTGTTGCAGTCAGAGAACCTGTAGATAGCTTCAGTTTAATATGCATTTCAAGATACTTTCAGCTTATTTTCGCATTGGTTAGCTACTTCCTGGGGAAGATGTCGCTCTGGATCGTTGCTGGGAACCAGGGAGGAGTCGTCGAGCTGGTGGTCACCCACCACTGGTACAAGCTGACTTTGGTTGCAGCGGTAAGCGTTGATCTGCTATGTAACAAATCCCTATCCCTATCCCTATCCCTCTCCCTATCCCCTCCCAGGTGATCTGCATTTTGCTGCTTACGTGTTTTTGCCTGAGGGTAAAGGATGACGATGGTGAAGACCCCCCGTTTCGTTAGGAAATTTTGGGAAATACATACCTGAGAATATTCCGTCTATACCATGAGCAATTAATGTGATTATTATCAAATACAATCTTGTATAATTGGACTAATTAAGAGTTGCCTTCACACTCGCCAAACATTAAGTTTTCTGCCCCACTCTCCTCCTTAAAGTTTCCTCCTGGAAATGTCCTCGAAGTGTCGATGAAGTTGTTGATATCAAGGGGGACAGAAGGATGGGGGAATGCTTGACAATTGTGGGGGTTGTGTGGGTAATCAAATTACATGCGGAATTATGGACACCCGCAGGACCATAACGGCAGCCAATAAAGATCGCAATGAGCAGATAAGCGGAAGCTGTGACCCCCGCCAGGGGGTCCTGCGATACCAGAGGGCAATACTGTCATCTGCTGCCGTTGATGTTAATGCTGTTGATGGCGTTGCTTTAAATGAAATTTAACGATGCACACAAATAATGACACTTTACATTTTAAAACACTTTCGCAGTCGGTCAGGAGTCATCATCCAGCGGCAGTCGGACATCGTTCGATTGGAGGAGGACAACGATGCTCATTATACGCATTTCATTTGACACTTTTATTGGCCCAGATGTCCATGGCTGATATTTCAGATGGGCCAAACGAAATGTGTAATGCTCTTCCGCATCCCCTTCTGGTTTATGCGGGCCATTTTATGGCCAGCAACGGATACCGATAAGGGTATTAAATTTGTTCGCCACTTTTCCGCCTCTCTCTCTTGGCCATAAAGTCGCCCGTCCGGCCACATCACTCAGCATTTGGCCAATTACGCAAAAAAGAGAAAATACTCTTTTGCCACACCTCCCCACCTCCTCACCTCCTCGTGTGTGTGTGTGTGTGTATGTGTGTATGGGAGAACGTGTCGAAGTGCTGAAAAGTGCAGCAAGTTTCAAGGATGTGTGTGTGTGTGTGTGTGTGTGTGGGGGTCGGGTGAAAAGTGCTTAGGTCTGGAGTGGCTCATTAGAGGTGTTCGCTACCGCTGCCCCGAAGGTGTTGCGGGTAAATTGTGTGGAAAAAACGCGCTTTCCCCAGCACTCACACCTTAACACTCATCTACTTTTGTGAGTGCTTCGCCGGCCGCTGGCTAGAACCAAATTGGGGATGAAAAGTGTGTTCTGAGCTCCCATTTAAATACTTGGAAAAATATGCCCAAAAATTGAATATTCGTGTTCCTTTTTTCATACTTTTAATTCCACAACTGGCATAATTAAAGCCTGCGACGGCCAGGCCAGGCCCCTGGGGGCGATTCTCTTGGAGAAATTGCGATTGTCGCCAAGCGGTTTGGGGCCATAACAGCATGTCGTCGTCGTCGTTGCCGTTGTCGTTGTCCTCGTCCAGGCGTATGTCCTGCGGCTGATTAAAATCTATTAGAGTCAAAGAGATGTAAGACACAGTGCAGGCGGCCGCTCTCCATGGGTGCTGGCATTCGTGGGGGTTCGGGGTTTTGGGGGAGGAATACTTTGGCCAATGACTTGGCATGTAAATGTCGACGTTGGCGTCGACGGCAACGCAATTGAAATGCATGCGGCGGAAACTTCCAACTTGTCAGAGAAGGGTATGCATGGAAGGGTATTCCGATGCAGACATTAGCTTTGACTAAAGAGGGAGGCAACAACAAGCTGAAAAGCTTTGTAAAGAAATTATTATCTCCATCGAAATGTAAGCTGCAGTTATTTAAAGAGGGACACTCTCTGAAGAGAGAGGGATAGAGTTAGATATCCTAGATCTAATAGAGGCTTCTTCTTGTTGGTTAAAGCTTCCTGATGTACTATGTTAAACACTGTTCTAATACGAGTATGTACACAAAATGTATGTTCTGGATTGGCTACTCGCTGGCCGTCAATAGATCAGTTCTAAAGGGCATTTAAAATGCAGCTTCTTCCCAAAGTTTGAGCTCCCTTCCTATTGTTCTTGTTGTTGTTGTTTTTGCTGTTGGCAGAAGTCGCACACAAAAGTTTCCAATGCTAAGTTTTCTACGGAAATTGTGCAGCTGTTTGGCGAGTGTGTGGGTGTGGGTGTGTGTGTGTCTCCTCTCAGATATCCTGCAGAGCGAGAGCTTGTAAAGGCAAATTTGTTGAAATATTCATTTAATGGCTGCCACGCCTACTACTATCCTGGATGCACGGGGGACGGGATCGAGCGGAGCATTCAATATGATTTTTCATGATTAAAGCGCGTGCCGGGTACGTTTTTATCGGCCGAAAGACATTTGCCCAGCGATGCCCGGAGTTCGATTGGAATTTTCTTATAAATTGTCGCCCCAACAAATGTGTCCACACACACACACACACACACACACGGGGGGGAGGCTGGGGTTGGAAAATGCTCTCACACGCTCGCATAATAAAGTGATTTTAAAGGGCACTTTTCCCCGCTTTTCTTTCTCTCAGATGGCGTATGCGTAAAATTTCCATTTGTGCGAGGCACTCAACTTTATTGAACTTGAAGTGGAGACCCGCTCTCCAGCTCTCTCCCTCTCTCTCCGTCTGTCTCTCTGTCTGATAATGTTTGTCAGATAGAGCACATGTGTGTGGTATGTGGTATCCCTGCTTCTGGCTGCTCCAAGATGTCCTGGCTTTACAATTCATTAAAATTTCATATAAATGCTGCGGATGATGGGCTTGAACGATCATGAACGGGGCATGCCACACACAGACAATGGCCAACCGGGGGTAATCCACTTTGCAGCTGGAGCTGGAGCTGGAACTGGAGCTGAAACTGCAGCGCGTCGCATCGTGTCCGTTATTAACTGCCAGTTACAAATGCGCCACAATAACGGTATTAAAAGCCCTGCGAAAGCGTCAAGTCATAAACTGCTCATCAGTCTTGAGTAACAGTAACTCGCTCTGGCTGCCACTTGCCCCTTGCCACTCTCCCCTCTCCCCGCTCGTCCCGTGTAAGTGTAATTATGCGACGCCGCTGCAAAAGTTGTGCTATCACAACTCATTGTCTCGTCGCCACGGCGGGGCAGGAAGTGGAAGCGGCAAAAGCCGGCGGCAAAACATGCCACCAAGGGGGGTGGTGTGGTGTGGGGTGGGGGCCTGCAACGTTGTCTGTGCGCCTTTGCTCTTTTGACGCTGATAATGCAATTTCCGCCAGCGCCATTTTGCCCCAGCCCTCGCGTAATTTACTGTTGTGCAATGTTTCATTTTTGTTGTGCGCTTTGCGAGCCTTTAAAGCAAGGATCCGCTCTCCGGAGTAACTGTGGCACAATCAACGCGGCAAGTTTCTCCTATTTATCTACATAGAGTTAATTGAAAGCATTCAAATGCCAGATACAGAGACAGAGACGCCAACAATACCGACTGCGTGATGTGTCAACATCTTTTGATGCCACATAATCCCCCTCCACGCCTCGCCACACCATTCATTCATTCCGCCCCACAATACGGGTGGGAGTAGTACGGGAACATGTCTCTCCTCTCCGTCTTTATTACAAATTGGTTTTTTGCAACAACCACCCACCCACTCGCATGTTTCGTGCGCAATTTGCACCACCGAAACGAGTGTGGAAATGTGGAACGAGGGGCAGCAGCAAAAACCGACCAATACTCTCTACAAATGTGCAGAAAAAATAAATTGCAGCACACGGCTAACCCACCTAACGGTAAAATGGTGAAATGGTGCCGTGGCAACGTGTCCTGTATACCTGTATACCTGTGTCCTGTTTGCCACGTTAACAAACTGAAATCGAAAGTTTGACTGCGGTCAACGCTGGGCATTGTCATTCTCTATCGGTTGTGTCTCGCTTGTCTCCCTCCTCCGACTGACTGCTGACTGTCAGATTGAATGGTTTATGTGTGACACCTTTGACCGGTCGCAGAGGTGCCACAAGGGCAGGCCGCTCTCTGCCAGACGATATAAATTAAAATTCAGCTCGAAAGCCGAGCAGCTTTAAGCCTCCGCTACATATCGGGAGGCTTGTGGGGCTAAAGGGCTTCGAATTGTACTCTTAGGTTTACAGGCAATAAAAACACCTTTGATTTAACTAGATAAAATGGTGACTAGTTTATCAGTTTATAAGGAGGATGTTCAAACATAATTAGGCGACACCCGTACGGATAGATTCATCTAAAAAGCCATAAACAGCTCAATAGGGTAGGTTTTAATAGGGCTACAAATTGTATATATCTTTACAGTGCTCGATTGCAAAACTTAACACTCAACGGCTTTTTGTCTGAAGGGAAGGCAAATCGCAGGAGAGAGAGTGTCCCCTGCCATCAGCTGGGCTGTCCTATTCCCTCATGATCATACAGTTCCGTGAACTCCGATTCAAAAAACACCCATACTGATTCATACACCTATAAAAATATCATTCTTTGGGACTCATTTTCTGGCAACAACCTTAAAAGTGTATCATTCCGGTATTGCTCAGCATTGAAATTGCCATCCCTGATTTCCGGGTCCTTTCATTTGCCCGGCAAAAGTCACGTGGCATTCATAATTCTTAAAATGGCGCCATCAGAAATTATGTAGCAATGCTAAGTGCACCCCAACATCTGTCCCTCGCCCTCTGACTGGGGTGGGGGCTATACGTGACCAGCATTTGTCGCACGCCAAAGTATGCTGCGATTTTTCGGGGATCAGAATGGAATGGGATGGGATGGGATGGAATGGGATGGGTCCTTCATTCTAGCTGGCCAAACAATGGGGAATTGATTTTGGTTTTCGGCCAAGTGCAAGCTGATTATGGAATTAAAACATATTTCTGTCTCAGAGCTTAAAACTTTAAGTGGCAAAGGTTGTCGCTGCGTTCTTGGTACGTGACATTCTTTTCCTTTCGGAGTTTATCACGTGACAAGTTTTCCAGCTTTGCGCTTATTTTCCACACTCCCAAAGAGAGAGGACGAATGCGTTTCATTTTCATTGTGGGAGAAAAAAAATAACTTTTCACGTGTGTGGGAAAAGGGAAATGAATAAGCAAGCGAAACTACAAAGAAGTTAACTGCAAAAGCGAGCTACGAAAGTGAACTTGGGTTACAAAGGAAAGCCAGAGAGAGAGAGAGGGAGAGAGGGAGAGATGGGAAGAGGCAAAGGCTGATAAATAGCGTTGAATGGAAAAGCTC